TGTGTGTGTGTGTGTGTGTGTGTGTGTGTGTGTGTGTGTGTGTGTGTGTGTGTGTGTGTGTGACAGAGACAAAAAAGAGAAGCAACATTCAGAGGAAAAGGCCACAGACCATAGATGAGTCATACCTAGGCCCAATGTCTTCAATAGAAAACAGCATTACAAGACAGAGTCAGGGCAACACACCACAAATCATCAGAAAAAGTCAGCCTTGGGGGGGGGGATGCTTGATTTTTGTATACACACTTCCACATGTCAACCACTGCTTAGAACAACCGTTTTAGAATTCTGTCTAATGTTTTATGTTGCAACCTTAATGCAATGAAACAGAGTCGGCTAATTCTAAAGGTAGATGGTCAATCATTTATCCATCTAAATCAAATACAGTTTATTTGTGTCTTCATGCAGCTGTGGTAAGGCAAACTATCAGAGACATGACACCCCAGGTAAAAAGAGGCCAAAGACCCAGGAGGGTAAGTGTTACTACAGTTACAACTGTCACGGGGAATAAATCTTAATAATAACTATGACGAGAACGAGGAAGAGCAACAGCTACGAAAAACAGGATGACAGACAAAATAAAACAAAAAACAACAATTAAGTCGTTGAATGAGAACAAGAGAAAGCAAATAAGAATAAGTTGACCGAACCCTTCCCAGGTGATCTTTCTTTTTAGTTAATTAAACTTTTGCTTAATTTACCAATTAAATATAACCTTATTTTTCATTTGTCCATCACACTTTCATGTTACTAACCAATATTGACAATTTTTGTGAATATGTTCATGATTATTTACCACAATTACTCAATTACTTAATTACAATTACACTACAATGACTTTACTTAAGTTAAGTGTGAGTTTATTTTAAACACAATATGCAGTTCCAAAAAAAACCCTGCCAGGCACTGGATCCAACTGGCAATCAGATATATCCAATCAGGATGTGGTCTAAAAGCCTCAGGAAGTTTTCTTTTTCGATGTTCATGCATTAGAACCTGCAAAGAATGCAGATAAACACTTTCTTTGGCTAGACTTCATGAGTTATTTTTCTAAAAGTATGTACCAACTTAATCTACCATTGTATTTTACATGAACATCAGAAATTCTTCAATTGTTTTAATACACAAAAACATTTACAGAATATATCTTTCTACCTTTTGCCTTTTCACAAGGCAAAGGGATCGATTAGAGAGGACCACGTATTTTTAGAAGTTAGCCTTAAGAGGTCAGAATGTTTGACATGGGAAAAGAGAGGTGTGCAAGTAATCTGCACGAGGAAAAACAATGTGTCTATTTGAATTTTGAAGCATTAAAACCTGCTCTCACGCCTCCAGATCTGTGATTAAAAGAAAAACTGAACATGTGGAGACCATGAGGCGAATCAGAAAGTCACGTTATAAATAGGAGCTAACAGTTGGTCTAAATTAGATCAGTAATTTTAGTCATCTGATATTGTTCTGTCTAAATTCACAAAATGTCAGTTCCTTAAGACAGTAGTTGTAATGCTTCCAATTATTTAGTCAGTACCCTGAGAACCATGATTATGTGACTGTTAAGATAAAGTCTGAGACAGTTCCTTCTGTAGAATTAAGCAGATTTAACAATAATGCAATAAACAGAGCTGAAAATATGATAGGATTTTGAAAGAATAGACATTCTTGAATTATTTAAAATACTAACATAAAAAATGTTGAATGTATCATATATTAAATAGGTTATATTACAAGTATACTTACACCAGTAACTTCTTAACTTTTATTTCTGGCTTTGCGTGTATTGGAGGGATTAGTAAATTACTACAGCAAGTGATAAAAAGCTTACAAGAATTATGGATGTATCCACAGGCCAACTGAAACAAGAGTAGGAGGAAAACCAAATGAAAAGGTGAAAGAGGAGAGCTGCAGGGGGCAAAAGACATTTAGCAGAGAATGAAGACATACAGCCAGCCGAGAACACATGTGCATAATTCTATTACATACTAATTCAGTAAACTGAGTAGATGAATACGGAGATGGGGAGAGAGAGAAAGGGGTAAAATAGAGTTCAGGAAGAGATGGCAGCCAAAGGGCAAAAACAAGAGCTGTAGGGGTGTGCCTGCGGTTTCGTCCGAACCACACCGTTTCCCCACTCCGACTGCCCAACCCCATCCACACACTTTTCCATTGTCTCCTTCTATCCCTTCATCACACACTCATGCTCTCCTCTTTTCTTAGCTCTTCGTCTTCCCCTCCCTCCTTCCCTCCCTCAGTCCTGTCAACTCCCATCATTTGCTCCCACGGGGACTGATACATGATTGCAGAAGACAATTATGAAAGAAAAACACTTCACGGTGTGTGTGTGAGATTCAGAGAAGGGTTTTCCTCAACGTCAGCATGGGGGAAGGCAAACCCAGGACTATGTTTGTGAGTGCATGTCTGGCAAGGTCCTGCTTGTGTTATGAGGACCTTACATATGCTGGCACAGGTAAAGTCTGATCAACTCCACATAATAAAAATCCAATTTACGTTTAGGACATATTTCCAGGTCAGAGTAAGGTTGGGTCTGGGTCAAGGTTGCTATGGTTAGGTTGGATAAGTGATATATGGGCCAAGACCTAATGCTCTATCTAATGGTCTCTGAACACAAATTAAGAGCTGGACTGATTTCAGAAAGTCTCATTTCTCTCTAAATTATCTCTAAAGAATGCCTTCCACACATAGACCAGCATCATTCTTGGTAACCATAAGAAACTGCACAATTAGTAGCTTCTGCTTTAAAAAAAATCCAGGGTCAGGGACAGAAAAATCCATCCCCACAGCGATGCTTGCTGGAGTAAACAGAAGGTGGAAATAAATTTCAGACCGTCAAGCTCTAGGCAAAGCCTTACATTTAAGAAAAAAGAATAACCGCCTTGGGTCCTCCATTTCATTGTCTTAGGTCTGCTTTCTATTGGCAAAGTGGAGTGTGCATTGCAATGCTGACATGTGAGCAGCTACTTGTGCTGCTCCTGCCCAGTCGCACGATAAATCCACACACAGTCTCATAACAGAAAACTGTACCAATGCTGTAAATCAAATCTGTTTTTTTTTCTTCATGCCACTAAGAGCAGCACAACTTTCAAAGTATTGTATTTCAATAAACAGAACCATTCCAGTGCCAGAAAATAACAGAAATGTCTTTACTTTCTTATAAATACACAAGACATTTTTGCTGCTGAGGTCTATGTCAAGATGAACAAATACTTCTGCTTTGTAGCTTTCTGAGAGCTGCCCTCACAATTGTTACCTCAAGCGTGACAAATAGGCACCATGCCCAAAGTATTAATGGCAGGTAACTACAGTGCGAGCCCAAGAGGCACACAGATGGTCTAAACTGTTACCATGAGAGCTTAACTGAAAAAGGATAATAGCTCAGACATGCCACACATAGATCCCTTCGTAAAGCTGGCCTCAAATCATTTCCCCCTCAACCACAAGAGTGCTGCTTTTGCATCATTTCTGAGACATGCTTTACTCCAGCAGCATTGATCATTCACTCAGTTCTAATCAGGCCTTGCTGAAAATACCACCACAGATAATGCTGCAACAATCATTTACTTTGGGAATGGGGTAGAGAAATGTACAGTATTCTTTTAAAAAAGAAGTTTGTACCTGCATGGTTCACATGTTTGAGGAGCCTCCAATAGACTTTTTTTTTTGGTTTCTTACAGGTTAAATAATTTATATTGATCCATCCAGGATACCATTGGTCATTACTGCCCTGGTCTTGGGGGACACTCAGATTTTGTCATTATTTTTATAACTTATGTTTAATTTGTCAACTGGTAAATAGGCTGTGTGTCTTTGGTAGCTTTGAATCAGAGCGGATACATTAAGGGCTGTTATATAACCTACTCTGTGTTGCCCTCAGACTTCAGTTTTGGATTTTTTTTTACATTGCCTACAACTTCCAAAAAGCAAACAACACATAGATTCCTGAAATGACACAAACCGGAGATGGCTGAGAGAGTTGGCAAGCCAGCTGGTGTCGGGAGAGTCGGCACCAGCAGACTTCACAGCAAACAATACAAAGCACCAAAATCCACGAATAGCCAAGAAGCCGCACCACACTGCACAGTGTTATTTTTTTCCCACTAAGTCTGACAACCCTAAATCAACTTTAGTTTTCAAGGAAGAAAAGGTAAAGGACCAACAAGGGGGCTTATACCACTGAGAGCAGCCCTCTGGGAACGGTAAAATGCTATTACTTCTTCATTTTTAACCATGAATAATAATGCACATCTCCTGTTCTTCCTTTTTTGGAGGCTCAGTGTAACAAAGAATTATCTTTTGTTTTGAGTTCATGTAGACTGAAAAATGTGTGCATTGTATGTGTAGACTCATTGGGTATCATAATGATATCACAATGATGCCTGTTTGTGAGTGATTGCTTCTGTGACACAAAAATCCTTATTGATGAATATGGCAGAGGTAATGACTATGATGATAATGAGAATGGATAATTACCTCACTGATGATAATGATGATTGCCAGCCCGTTCCCTCTTACACCCATATTGTTGCACATTTATCTGTAATATATTTCTACATGATAGACAAGAATTCCCAAAAAGTTAAGCACCCTCTCATTAATCATTCGATGTTCATCTGCAAAGATGCAGCCTTTTTATTCGGTCTATAAATAGAAGAGCTGTATCTGTGGCATCCTTGATAGCTAGCCTCCCAACACATGTACACAAACACACTGACGAAAAGTCGACATTTAATGGCATCATTTAAAGAGTAGAAGGCTTGGGTGTGTGAGATTGTTTGTCTTTTGACAGGATACAAAACAAATAGCGAGCTCCTGTTACTGTCATATTTACAAAAAGGCTAAACGTGGCAGTGATGGGTGGAAGCCACACCCAAACCCATTTTGGTGTGTACATATCAACTGTTTGCATGCTGCAGCTGTCGTGAGGAAACACACCTGTCCAATGTGAAAAAGCATGAATAAGCACATCCCTACTTTTTGCATACACAGAGCAGACACAATAGCTTCTGCCATACACACTGGAAATACCCCCAGCCCCCCCCCCCCCAACACACACACTACGCTAAACACACAAAGAACCTGGGTCCCAGGTAAAAAAAATGATAGGACAAACGAGATAACACCCCTGTGCACACAGACACACACCCATGCGCGCACACACCACCTTCACTAAGTAAACACCTAAAGGCTGACTGACGCTCCCCAGTCCCGGATGCGGCAGCAGGAGACGACGGCAGTGCCCACATCTGAACCTGATCTGACCAAAACTGACACGAAGATCGGATTACTGAGCGGTGCTCCGGGACAAAAGCCGCCATCAAAGCAGGTGAAAGAAAACGGCAGCATCCAAGCGCAGGCCGAGTGCAACTCAATACTTTTTTCATTCAATTTTGACACATCATGGGATCAATTTCGATCATTTGCAGAGACCTTAGGCCGGGTGTCAGCTGTCTGGACCTATGTCTACAATTAACTTCTCCTATTGAGGAAGTTTGCATGTTTTACCACAGGTGTGCGGTGAGCAGCGCGTGCTGGAGGGACTCCTGACTCTATGGCCCTAACAAAGCTTGAGCGCTGCCTGCGGTCAGGTAGAACGCATTAGATGACACGTGGCAGTTTTTCGGTGGCTAAAAGCTGCAGACTCATTGCGCTAATCATGCTTCCACATCTACTCCAAAGAAAAATATTCAAACTTCAGACAAACTGCCATGACAGTTAACCCTAACCCTTTCAGAGGATTTCCAACTGTATTATCTCACCTAAATAACTGACTGGAAACTTCTGGATGTTTCAACCTGCTGAACTTTGCATTATTGATAAAAATTGTCCTCTGATGTAGTTCTGTTTAGAGTCAACACAGCATTGAAAAAGCAACTTGTCATCACAAACTATTACCAGAACAACCTGTAATCAATTTATACAACCTCCAGTGAAGAACATTCATCTCCCCTTTTGGCAGTGAGGGAAGGAACACAAACAATGATTGTCCTCTGCCTTAATCTCTTCCCCTTTTGAAACGCTGCTTTTAATGTACCTTGGACATAGAGCCAAAATTGAGCCAAAAAGAGCCAACACAAATTAAACACACCAGGGGGAGGGGGGGTGGAAAGACGGCTGAGTCAGTGTTTGATTTGTTACTTTCCCATAAGAAACTTTCATTAACTTTAGAAATGGAAGACTTTTTTTAAATGTTGAAAGTCCGATCTTATAGTTCCCACTTTTTTTCTATCTTTTATTAAAAAAGCATTACTGTATTACTGCATTACTGTTAAAGCCATATTTGTGTAGTACAATTCTGAAGTTGGGTTATTTTCTTGGACTATTTCATGTTTAGAGAATAGTATCCTGCTTCCATCAGACAGAGCGCAGGAGCGTAGACAAGACTTTCGAGTTTTTTTGTTTACCTGGATTTGGTTTATCCAAAACTTTACACCTCATAGGTTAAATAACAGCCCTTGCATCATCGCTTTATTGTGTAAACCTTTATCTCTGTCACTGGCTTCCCTCTTCAGCTGCCGGACAACAGACTTGTGGTTACCGATTGGCCACAAAATTAACTCCCAGTTATTACCTGAAGAAACCGATGACCAAGCTTTCAATGATTCAATCATTTTTATCTCTTGTATGGTTTCAGTGAGGACTCTTGTTTACATCCCCCCTTAAAATAAACACTGTGCAAATCCAGTTTCTCGGAGAATAACAAAGTCTGCTGATTTATCATCTACATTGGTAACTAATAGTTTTTGGCATAGCTGCACTAGGGGAGGACAACGTGTCTCCTGACTCTGAGTGTTCCACCTGCTCCCGCTTCTTTTCAGAAAAGGGATTTTCTATCGTCCATCGTCTGAAATTGCAGAGCACAGGCATTAAAAACTAATCCCGAAAACAGAGTGTCCTCACTTATCTTAAGTTTCCTACACTCATGTTAGTTGCACTAAGCAATGCTGATGTTTCCCATGCTTAGAAAAGGACTTAGAAAATAAAACTGTATGCTTTGCTTTCACATGGGGTGGAGGGATATATGCGGCAAAAGAGCCCTGGTTGGAGCATGTCAGCAGTTTGGATCATATGGGAATTCAGACAGAAGGGGGGTTTTAATCTCTCCCCATCCCCTGTTTGTGTTTACTGCTGTGGTCACATGACCTCACGACTTTTTCCTACCTGTGTCAGGAGTGAACTGAGCCCGGGACCGGCTCGAGCCTGCACCTTTGTGCGTTAGGAAACACATATGTGAACATCACCGTTTCGGTGGCCTCACCTTAATTTTGTGGATGGACTTCCCCTCCTCCAGACCCTGGGTCCACACCGTGATGCCCCCCTTGCTGTAGGTCATGCTCCAGCCCTCCTCGCACAGGCACTCCGCCTTGAAGCTGGCGAACGCCCGGTCGTCCGGGATGGTCACTGTCTGTCCAGACATGGCTTGTTGCCTTGTGGACATGAGAGCGGTGAGATGTGGGCTGGGTGGGGGGTGGGGGGGGTAGTCTCCTGGTCAGGCCCGGATGAGACACTGAGAGCCGGTGTGGAAGCAAGAATAAAAGGAGCCGAAATCCTAGCGATACTGCGCCCTCCTCTGTGAGGAGAAGTTGTCTAATTCAATTTGGTCGTTGCAAGAGGCTTTTGTAGGCTCCACCGCGTCTTGTGATGGTCTGTGAGCGCGTGTGTGTGCGCGTTCGGGCAGGTCCAAAAACCGCAGTCCACCCTGCACAAACTACTGGAACAGTAGCGCGAGCACAGCCTCGCACAGGTGAGCGCGCGACGCTAAAGCGTTAAGTATCCCCCCCCAAAAAAAAAAAAAAATTAGCCAGATTAATTAAGTCTTACTTTCAGATAATGACGGTGGTTTGGTAAGTTTCTGCCCCCTTCAGCGGTAGAAACAGTCGCTCTTCAGACACACCATATGTTTGTGTTTCCGCCTCTCACTCAGTTTTCTGTCTCCTCCTATCCTGTTTCCACCTCTGCCGCGTTTCCCCTTCGCCTCTCCGTCTCCCTCAACTGTTTGCTCTGTCAGCTTACAGTCATTTGCGGAGGGTCTCCGTAGCAGTTGCCTCTGTAGCAGGTGGTGAACGAGATGCGCAGAGAAAAGAAAAAAAGAGGAAGAGGAGGAGGAGGAGGAGGTGGGGCGGCAGAGGAGGGGGAAACCGGGCTGCTACGTTACACCTCCCCGTGGTGCCTTTAGGAGCGCACCGTAAAGCTCGCCTCCCCGCAGCTTCACAGGGCGGTTTCAGTCGTCGTCTGATTAAAATCGAGTGCCCCGCTTGCTTAGCACGTCGTCCAGATGTGAAAATATGTCATAACACATGCGGGGTTATCAGCCATCGGTGCCACAGAGCAAAACTCCACCGTTGAATATAAATGACACGAAGGAAGTGAAGGAGGCATTAAAAGGAACCAAGAAAGGGAACTTCAGTGGCCCTCATTCAAAGTGTTCTACAGGCAGCACCTGCTCACATGAAGTGAGGTAGCAGCCCTGACTTTATGTGAGATGGGGCAGGCATTGTGGACAACTAATAAACTGGGGGGGCTGGCTCAAGCTAGAAGCAGAAGCCATCTGTGTCTTTGATTCTTAATGTTTCACCTAAAGATGTTAAACTACACCAGAAGTGGATCCAGCTTATTTGGACATATAGTGAATAAAAAAAATACCAGAAAGGGCTTCAGACTGCAGTCCGTGTTTAAATGAGCTGGATTGTAAATGTGACACAGAGACAGACCATTTTTTGGCACTAAATGAAAATGCCGTTAGCATTTGAAGGCCTTAAGAGGTGTGCCATTCAGTTCATCCAGCCACCGCTCCACTGCTCTTCATAGAGCAGTGTTTGTCATGTTGATGACAGCTACAGAAAGAACGCACATTATGGTTCTGAGAGCTCAACAGCATATATTGATATTGCTGTTACTTCCTGATAAAGAATCATAACCAATTTATTTTACAGTCATGAGATATGTTCTCTGTGTTACTGTTGCAAAAGAAAGAAGAAAAAAAAGGAAAGTTGCATTTTGAAAGGTTTTTAGGTCATTAGAACTGCTGGAGTGGGACCAGGCTGCCTAAAAGTAAAAAAATCTTTACCCGAACAACATTAATTCAACACCAAAGGTAATTACTTGAGTAATGTTTCAAAGCAGTGACTGCAACACTTCAGCTAATAACTAAATGACTTTATGTGTAACTGGGCCACTATTTCTGAAGTATAACTATAGAGTCCACATAACTGACTAGTATGCATGAGAAATAAAGCTGAATTTACCACAGTGCTCACTCATAAAATAACATCTTAGTCAAATATAATTTAGGTATTTTATCACTTTATGTTCTGGAAAGACAGATTAAACAGGCCAGATACCAAATGGCCTCACAGACTAATAGCCGACGTCATGGCACTTGCATCCTTTTTTAATCAGGTGTCGGTTTTCACAGCACTTAAAATAGAGAATACAGTTGGTTCTGCTACATGTGTTTTTTGGGGCAAGGTGTTGTTACTGGCACTTTTCTTTTAGCAACTATATTTTTGTGAATAGCATAGAATGTTGGAAGTGATCAATTTTATTCTTCTTGAATAATATTTATTTTTATGAAATGATGGGTCAGTTGATTTTAACTAACCTCTTATGGCAGAGGTTTATGTTCTCTTTAGTTTTTGTCTAGTAGATGACACAGTGATTATAGGAGCTCTGCAGTCTCCATGTGCACTTAAATTTGGACTTTCAGGAAACCATTGTTTTTCATCAAATAACATTCTATGTAGTTTGCATGACAGCCATCTTTTCTTCACAATGTAATAAACATTTGTGTGTATTCTGTTCCTTCAGTCCATGAAGTACCTGAATGCAATCAAGGTTAAGGTATCATACACACGTCTTTTGTGATTCTCTTTTTGTAGTTAGTTCACTAAGCAGTGCTGACATCTGTTGGTTGATGTGTTAATCAGTTGGGAGTCTTTTTTTTTATTTTCCTGTTGTCAGCTATCTGTGGCAAGTGGGTGTCAACTCAAAAGTTAATAATTTCATGTGTCCCAAACTGGCAGACACTTAGAGAACTGTATGGTATTGTCTTGCATGACTCATTCTGCCATTTGAAATAAATGATTAATGTAATACATAGCTTTTTGAAATAATAAAAGCCCTAGTAGTTATTAGGTGTTTCCTTTGCTTTAAAATAAAGCCAGGAACAGCCCCTTTTATGTTGAAGTTTAATCCTTTTGTTGCCAGTTTACCCCACTACTTTCTAAAGTTTATTAACATTATAATAACACCATTGTGCTGTTACATTTTTTTTTTTTTTTTTTGCAATTCATCACTTTAATGGTAGACAATAATGAGTGCAGATGTAGTTATTAAAATGGCCTCGAGCTGCCATCTATTCAGTTGTGAGGCTATGCCTCACTAGCTCACTGGGACATTTGCTGCAAACACTGCTCCAGAAAAACCACACTGTTAATAAATGCTGGTTTCACCAGTTAAGTCAGCAAATACTTTGGAGGTCATTAACTGTGGAGCTGATTATTTTGTGAAACGGATATGAGCAGTCCTACACATTAATCATTGAAAGACCATTAGGAATCAAGGTGACGTACATACAGTTCCAAACACACTAACTGGCCCTTCCAGTATACAAGTTATACTGCAACCTTGGTGTCGGGCCAAGCTTTTAACAAAGATAAACACAAAGTTTGATGGATGGGCAGCGTGCAAAATTTTACTGAAGTAAAAACTGTGTTCCTATGCTCCAATGTTGAAGCCTCTTGAGGCAGAGAATCACACAAATGGACATTCATGACATTTAAGCCCATGCAGCAGCACCCAGGACCTCAGCATTGCCACTGCCTACCAGAGGGGATGCGGAATGTTGTAACAGATGTATTTGTTAGAAAGAATGAATGTCAAGTATGGCAAACCCGCACTGACACCTCTGAAAGGTGTCAGTGATTTATTATGGCAGACCATGTTGCTCTCCATCATTCATGTCTGCTGAGGCACACTGAGCCTCCTGCTTACTGCCAGGGCGTTTTGATTGCAGCGACTCTCTGCTGAAGAAAGCCCACACATTGGTCTATTTTGTTTGTTTGTTTGCATGCATGGCTCTGTTTTATTCTCAGAATATATTGAATCTTTGGTGGCAAATTGAAAGCTGTGAATAAAAAGGCAAATCGGTGAGACTTGAAAATGTCTCTTGTTCTTTTACCGATGCCTCACTCCCGTCACTACGAATGCTTGAATGCATTTTTATCAACCACAGCATCCCATGTCTAGTGGCTATGATAAACATAAACAAAGAAGCTGAAATATTTTTTCAAATAATCATGATAGGTTTCTGGTTCAGAAAGTGAGACGTACAATGCAGTGTTTTCTCTGATGTTTGCATGCAAGCTCACACAACAACTAACTGTAAACATATAAAATGAAAGACAATATTTTAACAGGAGAAGGTAAAATGGGAGTAAATGCAAACTGCACAGCTGAAACATGGCTCACCAGGTAATTCATGTGAGTGGTTTTGGACTTCAATTGGATGCATTAGCAAGAGGGCTTAGACTACATTTACCAAAGTCAGACAGATAAACACTGTTTAACTTTACAAAGGGCCATCAGTGGGAAAGGCCTAAAACACATTAGAATTCATCAGTAAGATTATAAAAATAAAGTAATTATAATAAGTCATGATTACATGGAAAATGTGTACTAGATTACTTGATTATATTGACAAATATGGTGACAGACAAGGTGGTTTCACACATAAGATAATGTCCCGGTAGTCACTTTTTGGATTGTTTTTACGGTAGTCTGAATAGAACACTGGTAAACAATAATAAGAATTATCCTAAAAATAATATTTTTTAATGGGTTAAGTACATTAGCAAATCTCTTAAAAGCCTATGTCAATTTCTTTTTCATGTGTCAGTGCAGAAGGTCTCCATATCCGATTAAAAGTTATCTGAAAATAATGCAGTCTTTTTGTCTACACAACTTCTTAGTTGAATAGTTTGTGCTGTGTAGGCAACAGGCACACATTTCAAAGGGAGGATTCATTTACAGTCTGTATCTAAACAGTTAACTCAGATGTTGCTTCACCACATTTACCCAACGCTATGTTTTGACGCCATCTGGCGGCAGTAATACACAAGGCTTTTCCTAAAGAGCTCGACTCGTGATTTTGCTGTGTCAGTCATTTAAAGAGCAGTAACAGCAGAAAGGGATGCAGAGGAAAGCCCCAGAAATTCAAAACAACTGCCTCCTATTGTTCCACTACAATGATCGTGTTTGGGATGGAAATTAAATGTTATTGGCTCTAAAATTATGTCTAATCATTTATAGACGTAGCCATTATTCTGCACAAGATCATATGACATGCAGGACATTTAAAACTAATAACATGAGCAATGGCCCACGCAAAAGAGGAGAAACCATGTTAATTGAATTACGCTTGTCTGTTTATCTTGAAGCATTTTCAATTTTTCAATTGGCTAAAAGCATAAGCAGTTTCATGATATTACCGTCCAATGAATACGTAGATCTGTGATATAACCCCAACAAAAAATGTGGATTTTATAATTGCAACCCATTCACGGATATACATATATAACTACATTTCCCATAATGCACCACAGCTTCTGGTGACATCCACGTTACGATGAGGTGAAACGGTTATTTTCGTCCCAGCGTTTGTATCTAGCAACCATACGCTGAGGAACGAGACGTCACTCCATCTTATTTAACGCCGTGTTTCAGACGTACATGGTGGCAATAGCCCCTGAAATCACTCCCGGAACGAGGGTTTGATCTCTCACTTGGTTTTCTTGGAATTTATCGCCATGCTATCATCTGTCCCCACCAGGCTAATAGCTCGAAGGTCGCGGAGCCTGTCACCGTGCAGTCGCGTGCTCCAGACCAGCGTCAACGCTTCCGCAAGCCAAGGCGTCCGCGAGACACCGGCGGAGACCAACCGCAACCCTATCGTGACCACCTCCCGGGTCTCCAGAAGAGGACTTTTGTCTGAGGAGGCTGCTGCCACCAAGGTAAACCCATCGGTGCAGTACCATCACCTCGCCCCAAGATGGCTGTCCAACCTGGAGAACCGCCGCAGCTCATGGGCCGCTCTGGCCAGCAGAGGGCGCAACAACAACCAGTACTGGGAGGAGAGCCAGCGGACGGAAGGGGGTGACGGCCGCGGGACAGGGGGAAGAGAAGGCCGCGCAGGTTTGGCCTCGGCCGGCGTCCTGTCCGCCGCAGCGGTGGCTTTCTGCCTGAGGAAAGACTCTGACAGCAAAGGTAGAATTGACCACCGGAAGAAGCCATTTATCACCGACACATACAAAATGTTGTAGTTAGTTTGTAAAACAATGCATGTTCCATTAAATACATGCTCCAGTATGAGTGCTGATTATTTGTCTTTGAATTATTTGTGTGTGGTTAACGTTATTTGTACATTTGCTTTTAATGTCAAGGTGATGCACTTCTGGAAGCGGCAAGGACCAATAACTCCCAAGATGTAGCCAGGTACAACATTCACACACACACTCACAGACTTCATGACGTGTGTTCTACGTAATATGACTTTTTAAACTGAACAGGTTTTTATTTAAAATATTTTATTGTCCTATGTGGAACTCGTACAGTAATTTTCTCAGGCTGAAATGGTTTTGTTGATAACAGATTTAAGGAGGAACCTGCTTAGAGGCTCTTCACTTTATTTGGGATCATCTGGAAAAAGTATGAATCTCAACTATTTTTGAACTGACGATGATGGCTTAATTCAAATCCCTGAAAAACTTAAAGCTTTCAGTCAAGTCACATGGATACATCTCCAGATCTATTGCAGTTGTGCACACTGCAGATAAAATTAGGATATGGCTTTTTCTTTGAGACCTGGCGGCTGACATAAACTTTGTGAAACAAGTGTTACACTAAAGGAAGAGAATCACGTTCATTCTGTAGGACGGATTATGGATGGCTTTTTTAAATTTAGAACCTGAATTTGTGTTTTTACCAGCAGTGACAAAAACTAGCATGTTGATAACATCTTTTTACACTTTTAAAAGCTTTACCCGACTCAAGAAACCCAAGTTTTTTCCCTCTGAGTGCTCTTTCAACTACAGTATTTTTCACTTCTATAGAGACCAATTTCCTGAAGTGTCAGGGTCAATACTGTTTAAAAAAAACACACCTGAACACCTTGTTGTTGGGGTTCTTCCAACTACCACTAGATGGAAGACATGAGCCATCTGTGACAGTACAGGTGATTGTTACTGGGTGGATGTCAAAGATAACGTTTTTTTTTTTCTTCCTTTGTATTTTCAAACTGATTAACTAACAACATCTCGTATTTACCATATTCTCTAACTCTTTATACATTTCTCTAAGAGTCAGGCACTATAAAGAAAGCTGTGTGTGTCTTTCTGCAGCGTGTCTGTTGTATGTGGCACAGTAATCTCAACTGGTAGTTCAGTGAGCATCAGCAAACTATTCATATGAGCATTTCCTGGTTTGCTGTTAGTGTTGTTGCTTACTAGACTAGAATCTGAAAAAAATCTTTTCAGATATGATGTTTTTATCTATGTTAATGTATGGGTAATTCCAAGTTCGTCCATTGGCAGGCTCAGGTTACCTGTGCACATGTGACAGATGGCGTAGGTGAGAGTGCAGTCAGACAGCCAGTTAGCCGGTCACAGATGTGTTAAGTGCTTTGCTTGAGTTCTCAGGCATTATATAGTGTCAGGGCGTGTCTGCTGAGAGCCTCTCGATGGAGATGGGTTCAAGTTCTCACAAAGATTTTCATGAAATGTATCTGTCTGCAATAAGAGTGTACTTATGAGGCTGACGGGGCCCCAAAGCAAGGGGAGACACATGATAATGACATGTTAAAGTAGTCCATGTAAGCACTTAGCATCTGAATGGGTGTAAAACTATGTGTCTATGAAAGTACAGTTCTCATTCAAATATATACAGAAGAAATCATTTTACATTACTAAACGTCCTCTCCTGGCTCGATTATTTAATTTTGAACTAGAATAATGACATGAGATGTTGTGGTTATATTTCAAGTGACTGTTTTTACAGTTTACCAAAATCCTTTTTTTCCCAACCCCCCCCCCAAAAAAAAACAGATGTTGTTTTTTAAAGATAGCAGTCATATGGTTGTCATGTTTTTTAACCACAAAAACTAAATGTGACATTATTATTATCGGATTATATCTCTGTCCTGTAATAATCGTCTTCCATTTAACTTGATATTGCATAATTAATTAATAGTAATCTTCAGATCACTTTTGTTTTTGTTTTTTTCAAATAGAAATGCTATGGATTATTTAAATATCCCCCTTTTTTTTCTTTTTTAACTTTTGAGATGTAAAAAATAAAGAGTACTCGGTTTGAATGAGCAGAAACAAGGAGTGAAAGGCTCGGATGCGGCTGTAATGGTTAGCCGCCATATCCTCCCCAGTCCTGATACCGCCTGCAGTCCAGTCAGTGAAAAAGGAGCCAGAGAGCCTCAGAGCTAAGTGCAGAGCATTCAGAGGCCACTGTGTTGACTGTAAACACGCATGCTGCCAGCCTGCTCGGCACAAGAGGCGGCAGACGGATCTCTTACACCCTCACTTATGGAGATGGTGCCACCCCAGCACCTGATGTTATACCCTGAGGCGCAAAACTCCTCACACACCTGGCTTAGATACATTAACTGCTCAGAGAGTGTGTGTGGATTCACATAACATGTGGTGATTTAATGTTTGGGGTGTCTAACCGGCCGTGTCTTTTTTACAGGACTCCTGTGGCACTTCTAAGTATAGAATTTGTTTTTCCTGACTTGGAGGTGTAATATTTCTTTTCAGCTCACAAACCAAATTCCAGATATAACAATATTTGCATTATGCCATTAAATAATTGAGAAAAGGGGGTTACAAATCAAGTGAGAAGGAGGGTTTTTGCCCCTCTTAGATGACAGCCTACCATCATTTTCTAATCAGAGCTGTCGTTTCCAACATTCATTCAAGAGAGTGTAGGTTCTGTGTCTTTTCTAATCACGGTCTGCATCCATCTTTTATGTGCAGTCTGTCTTTTTTTCATTGCGGCTGGAGCAGGCAGTCACAGTGGGTATTTTGAAGAAAATAGCTTCCTTTAAAGAATAGATAACATGAAGTCAAAAGGTGATGGGATTTTCTTTCCTCTTTTTTTTTTTTTTTTTACGGGGGGGTCAGTACTTAACATGTTACTTTAATACATCGAGGGGCTGAAATATTCCTGCCTTTCATCGCTTTGTATATTAAGTACAAATCCTGTTTTGTCGATAATTCAATTTTTATTCAGCTGCAGTAACTAGAGGTACAATGTTCTGGCATATATCTGGCAATGTCATAAGAATGTACATCATCACCGTGGGAATTCAGGACGATAAAAAAGATGAAAATAAAAAATTACATTTCCACAAATCTTTAAAGTTTTATTCCTGAAGTCCTGTAACTTTCTTTTTAAAGAAAAAAGAAAACAAAAGCAGAAATGAAATGTCTAAATAAATCCTTGTTGTTCTCGGCTGTGATAAAATGTAAAACGCAACAAAATACAGACATGTGCTACTGTCTTGGGAGTTCTACAATCATGTGTTTCATATTGTGTCTTTTCTTAATAGGCTGTTAAAGGAGGGTGTGGATCCAAATCATCGCCATCGCCTGGGCTGGACTGCTCTCATGGTGGCTGCTATGAACAGACAGCACAGGTCCGTATGTGTGTGTGTGTGTGTGTCCACTAACTAAACCTCCTAAACAAGTAATGGGTGTAAAGCCTCAGAGACAGCCTTCGCTTGTTGGGATATGTAACAACAATGTACTTGTTTTATACAATACGCCTATCTGCATGAGCTGACCTGGGAGCATGTGTGCGTTCCAGCTGTAGTCCTTACAGTACATCTCCAGAAGTGCAAAGTGCAACTTTCAGACTGACAGACGGCGTTTACCCGTACCCCCATCCTTCTGTCCAACAAATTGAATTAGCCTCCTGGCTCACAGAACACACACAACACAGAGAGGGACTGAGGTTAAGGCCGGGCCAAATCCAATTTACAAGGCTTTTTTTTTTTTTTTACCCCCCCCCCACAAGGCTGTGGGGGTTTTTTTTTTTTTTTTTTTAAGAAAGTTCTCTTTATGTGACTTCTTACTAAGAATGAGAATGGCTGCAAATAAGCCTACTTAAAAACACAAGTTTATGGTCCTTTCTTTTTAGTATTGCCAAGAAAAGAATTGCCAACCATTCTCTGCTTCCACCATGTCCAGTGTGATAGGGCAGGAGGATTTAATGCTATATGTGGCGTCTAGTTTAATGTGTGCATTTAATGGAATACTTTTCTCAGTTTGCATTGAATTATGACTGGAGTACTAATCTGTGGGCTTTAACTAATACTTAGGAGACAAATATAGACATTTGCTGTGGTTGCTTTAGGTCTTAGTTATCTTTTAGCCGCGGCATATCTTTATGTTGACATGTTGTGTGTTGGAGATTGTCTCTGTATGACATATCTATGTGTGTCATATTGTGCTTGATGATGTGTCTCTCCATGTGTCAGGTGTTTTTGGATATAAATTTGGTTGTTTGTGCGTCTGCGTTTTTACCCAGTGTCTGTGTGTCTTTCGCTTGTCTTTGTGTTATGAGTGCTATAACTCAGCAAGACAGACTCTCCTCTGTGTTTAATCCCCTCTTCCAACCCCCCAGTGAGCCGTCACTGCTGTAGGGAAGACAGAATATGGGTTCACACACATCATTCACATCTCTCTCTCTCTCTCTCACACACACACACACACACACACACACACACACACACACACACGCACACACGCTTACATCTGCCCTCTGAACATACAGACACACATACACACGAATGTGAGAAGACGAGGAGAGTTTATACTAAATATCTTACAGGCCAAATGCCTATTACTCAGCCACACACAACTTTATTTGCTGCTGTTAAGTGAAAACACAGGACTCATTACTCATGAACAAGGTCTAGCCGGTAGCTAGTGTCAGTTTGAATCTCTTTGTTGAGTTATCCCTCGCCCCGTCACAACGTTCGTATATTTTCCTGGAGCAGAAGAGATATTCTTGGTTGAACCTGATGCAGGGACCGCCGAACCGTCGGAGGGGAAGAGGTGGTAGCTTGGCTCGTATCAGCGGCTGTTCGAGGCGTGGCGGTGGGAGAGAGTCGGGGCGGAGCTGAGGGGTGTGTGAGGACCAAGGGTTAGCCTCCGCAGAGGCGTGTGTTTGCCTAGCTTTGATGTGGGGCTAAATCAGGGAGGCGCAGGGCCCGGCCCTCTGTTTGCACTCTTTAACACACAATGCTCATCTCCATTGCCCTTTCTCTCCCTCCGTCCCACCCTTGCTGCATTCACGTGCACAATGAGCGCCCAGCCAAGTGTGACGCCTGCTGAGCGTTCCGAGCCGTCAGCCCAGTGATCCGGCGGGCGAGAGCGGCGTGAAAACGCGGAGAAAGCGGGGGGTGATGGAATGAGAGGATGAGTGGCTTTTTGGAGGAAAAAGAACTAGCGAGAGCAGAGATTGATGTGAAGTGGGATTATGGATTTGAGACTGGGATTAGCAGGACTCGATAACTCCTGCTGAAAATATCATCATTTGCCTTTAGCTTTAGACAGGAAGTGGCCCATTTAGTGACATCATCAATATATGGGTAATGTTTGGGGTCTTGGTAAACTAAAAGCGAATTTAGTCTGATCATTTGTTTTTGGTGTTAGATATAATCTTTTGTTGGTTTGTCAGTAGACAGGAGCTCCTGTTTTCTCTGGTGACATTACACATTGGGAAATCAGATTGAAATAAGACAACTCAAACAAACGAGTGCAGAGGAGAGCCCTCTTCCTGCCTCGCATCTGATCCCAGATGTTCGCCAGGTGAGGTGGGGTCAAGTGAGGTCCAGCGTCTGGGCCAGGTGGTCAGAGACATGGATGGTCAGTTCGGCTCAGGTATCTTTTATAGACCAAGGGAGACGGAAGTGTCTGTTTCCTGTCTTCCCTCCAGGGCCGGATGAGAAACAAACACCAGCAGCCGCTCACAGCCTGAGCTCGCACGGCCGGTGATGCTCTGCTCGGGCAGTGTGCAGGCTCAGCCTCCCAGCTGTAGCCTGGGCATGCTAAAGGCTGACGCTGAGGCCACAGCTGCTTCATTCATCTGCAGAATAGAGCAGCACATAGCTGCAGACATCTGCTGAGAGGGCTTGAGCTTTTATGCCGACCCCCACCCCATTAGCTGCAGTAGCGATGAATTTGAGTATCAGCTCAGGCATTTCTGTTGAGCAGAGCAATTTAAAATGATTTTGGAATTACATTGGACTGACTGAACTGTGGACCAAAGCAACATTTGTCAATAAATCAAAAGCTGCATTTAAAAATGTCCTCTTTACATAGGCTACGACTAAACGGTTAAGGGTTCAGATGCATCAGATTCAAAAAGCGTGTAATTCTGACTTTTACCCACTCTTTTGAAACTGGATTTGAACTTAATTAACCTCTGCATGCCTTCGGTTTGGCTTCAAATGACTTCAGCAGCTCCCTTTAAAGTCCCAAATAAAGTTAACTACTTGATCATCAGTTGATTAGTCAAACTTTAAACTGTTTTCAAAGACTCATTAGTTTTAGGTCTGTGCCGTATAATTAAATCTCCATCTCTTTCATCTTTTTAGTTTGGCCTCCATCCTTTTACACCCTCCTCCTCCTTCTCCTCCTCCTTGCTGGTGTTTTCCTCTCTTTATTCCCCCATGTTTACCTTCTTTATGCCTTTAACCCTTTTCAGACCAGTTTGTTTCTTCACAGTCTTGTCCAGCCTCGTGTGACCAAACTTGGTTTGAGAGTGTGTGTGTGTATGTCTGGACACGTCTCATAGGATGCATCAGCATGTTTGTAGAAGTGCTTGCAAGGGTGAGAGGAGAGCCCTCTGTGGGTCACGGCCCCCCCGCCATCCCCCAGCCACAGTAATACAGTAACAAAAGGGGACCCCCCGATAGGCCTTTTATTCCTCCTCAGCAAGGTCAGATACAAAGACCCGGCCTGAATGTTCTCAGCCTCGGTCTCCCACAGGAACACACATGTTCTCTGATGATGATACAAAGGGCCAAAACCAGAAAAAATTCCAGTTGTAAGCAGAGATGAGGAGGAAACTTGCACCTTGCCTGGTACCCTGAACAGGCATTGATGCCAGATCCTATTTACAATTAAGGTGAAAATTATTCAACAACTCATCAACATCTAATATTGCACTGACTTTTTTAGTTATTTTGGGGGAAAGCTGTCTTAAAGTTTACTTTTCCCATTATCTCAAATTAGTTTGTAGACTCAGGCTGGCTGTCCAGGGGAGGTCACAGGAAAACAGCGGTGTGAATGAATCATCTCTTAAAGATTTTCTGAGTAGATAAATGTTGCTTCACTTGAATTATTATATTTTTCATTTATGTATTATTACTGTCCAGACACCTGGTTTTATCAGTTAGGTGACATAGCCTCTCGGTCAGTTTTGTGCTTTTTTTGTGTTGGTTTTAAAAGTATAGTTTCCTCTGTTGGGTCTGTGTAATCGTTCTAAAAAAGGATTCCACCTCATCCTCATATGAATAATCACTGGGTTCCATTTAAATCCTTTCAGGCCACTGCCATAACCATTTAGCTGAGACTTATCCGTCCCTCTCTCCCCGGCTGCATTACATGGCCACAGGTTTAATGGCAGCAGTGCCTTACTGGCAGGGTTCAGGTTTCGGCCACCACCTCCCTCTTTCACAGACAAGCCGTCTCGTTTTTGTGTGTTTGTGTGTGCTTTTCTGCACATGCAAAGCCTCAGAGTCAAAGCCAGCGCTCACGGTCACGGCGGTGGATATAAAATGTGTGGTTCTGTAGACGGAGCGACGGTACCTGGAATGTCCTTTGCGTCACAGCGAGTGGTGTTGCCGAGGTAGTGGTGTTTGCTTTATAAGGCCATACGCTCCAACGACGTGCTACACAAAATGCCACCACTTTGTCAGTGAGGTCCCCCTCCAGCGGTGCCGGAAACGGGCCCGACCCTTGCCCCCTTCAGTGTGCACATATGTACGCATTGCAAGGCAGACAAATGCAGACTGAAGAAGGGAAAGAGTGGAGCGGCCACTGGAGTGTATCCACCATAACGGCACAGAAAAGCTGGAAGCGAGTCAGGTGACAGAGTCATGGTCAGTTGGAGAATTGTTGTTTGCGTGTCTGTCTTTTTGTTTTTGACGAAGATGCGAAAAACTTTGGGAAAAGGTCAAGGTTATGTTTGATGTGAAAGGGAGTATCTCATCCATTCGGGATTTCTTTGTTCCGGTAGCATAGCTAAAGAGTCACCTCAGATGACTGCATTTATTTATTTTTAATTAGGTTTGTTAGGCTCTGCAAATGATCAGCGAGTCCATTTCTAATCAGTCACTTTGCTAGTGTTTCCATTTTTGTTGGAGTGGATAGTCCTTTCATTCATTTAGACATTGTATGAAACGAATAAACTGTTTTAAAACATCTGTGTATAATGCGCATCCTGAAATGTTTGTCCCTTTCTCTTGTCCCTCCTTAGTGCCGTGAAGGTTTTACTTGAAGCCGGGGCTGACCCAAATGCCGGCGACGACTTCAACAATGTTTATGACACCTCACGGGAGAAAGGCATTCACTCACTGGAAGGTGGGTGAACTACCTGTCTTGTTTCTTTTTTGTTTCGTTTTTTTGCTTTTGGGTGTAAGAGCTTTTTTTTTTTATCCTTGTGTTTGTCTGTATCTGGATTGTTTATTGCACACATGATCCTGCAGATATTAGCCGACGCTATCATTTACATAAAAATCTACGTTTATGCTCATGTTTCATTCTGTGTGTATTATTTAGTTTATAAGCTCTGTGACAACTAATGTATTTTTTATTTGCTTTTCTTTCAAACGACAGAGTGGGACACACAAACACATGCATAATGGCAACAGCACACACACGGACCCCCACCTCTCCTCCCTCCAGTCTGTGTTGGGTTTCTGCAGACATATTTATATGGGATATGTATATTGCAGACATTTATAAGGCTGTCAGGTTTGGGTCCACGTGGGGCCGGCGTAGCATGGGGAAGCGTTTCCCAGACGCACACTGATGGATGGGCTAGGGGGGTCTGTGTGACGCTTTATTGGGTTAGCTATGATTATCCCACCCTGTATTTCTCTCTCTCTCTCACACACACACACACACACATATAAACACACACAGTGCAGCGGAAGACTATGAGCGAGACTGAGCAAAAGTGTGGGATGAATGGAGAGAGGGCAAGACTAATGAAGAGAGGAAGAAGCAAAAGGCACAGAATGAATAAAACTGAAAAGAAGGTAAAAGATGGAGGAGCAGGATGAATATGTGGATGTTTAAGGGTGATGGAGAGAGGGAGGGGTAGGAAATGGGAAGGATGATGAGGGAGGGAGAGGAAGTCAGGAAATGGATGACACAAACTTACGAGGATGGGGAAAGATGGCAGGGAGGAGGGAGGAAGAGGGCGCAAGCGATGAAAGGAATTGATGGACGCTGAGGAGGAGAGGAGGGCGGCAGAAAAATTAAAAATAGATGATGGAGTAGCACTAGATGAGTGTTCTTATGAAAAATAAGTAAGGAGGGAATGATAGACTATTTCTGTTACTGCAAAAGACAAAAGCAAATAAAGACTCTAAGACGCAACTTGCATTGTTCCCATCATTTTAAACAGCTGAGCTAGAATCTGGGCAAATGAACAAGTTTTCAAATGCTTGAAACTAGAAAGATCATTTTGAAGCAGTCAGTCTTTTTGGAGCATTATCAACAAATGTGAAATGCCCCAACAGCTCCCGTTACTGTAGTTTACCAGAGTTGGTTACACTGTATTCATTCCCCTCAGCCCTGAGGGCTGCTCTGTTCTCATCTGAGGACTAAAGAAGTGCATGAAACAGCAGCAACTATCTAAATGGTTACAACTCCATCCGTCAGTCTATCCGTTATCTCAAAGCAAGCAGACATACTGGGAATCATTTCTCTCTCTCTCTCTGTCTTTGGTTTTACAGTCCTGGTGTCCAGAGAGGATGAGTTCAGCAGCAGGCTCAGCAGCCGGGCTGGTTTCCGGGGATGCACTGCGCTTCACTACGCCACGCTGGCTGATGATCCACACGCTGTCCGCATGCTCCTGGAGGCTGGTACGTCGCCAGCCGTGGCCTCAAAAGCCAGTCCTACACCAAACACTAGTTCAGGCAGGGGATCGTTAAGATTTCAAGTAAACCTGTTCAGCATTTCCCCCTCAGTCCCTCTAATAATGTTTTCAAAATAACAAATACATCCTTAATTTGAATGTGGAAAAAAATGTATTTACACTAATTCACATAAGTGCTCATCTTCTATATGCTTCTCATTAGCTTTTGCTCATCATTTAGCTTCTGTCTGCCTGTAATGGAATCGAAGGGGAAACTTGAATATAAGATTTTATTACACCTCCCATGTTGTTCATCGAAGTAAATGTAAACTGCTACACAGAATGTGTTTTTTCTGTTAAGAAAGTCAAAATTCAAACAATGTGAACTCGGGTGATAGTTTTCTTATTGGTTAGTTATCTTCAAACCAGGAAACTGGGGAATTAACTGCATCCTCAGTGGTATGTGGGCTTGAATTAGCAAAAGGTAAGAATTATTATTAGCTTTTATGAAATGGGGATGTTGTGGGTTATTTGCTCGTCTTAGTTCATTAATGTCGGGTCCACAGAGCTTTTGGCATTCGTGCAGTGATGTTCATGCCGTGTGCTGCGCATCGCAGCAGCCAGGTGCTCCACTGACCTTGCCACATAACTGATAATGGATTTTGTAGTGTTGTGTGACTTTTGGCATTACGGATAGAGGGATGTGCCAGAGCTGGCTCCGACAGCTCTGTCCCTGTTTAACCAGAAAATAATTGTGTGTAATTTTGTTCAAACTTTTCCAAATTGATATTATAGGATTGCAGCCCTCTGATTCAGGGTTTCCACTTTTACACATAATACTTTTACACAATTGCCTCTCATTGTATTTTTTATTTTTTAGCTAGATAATTTATTATCGGCATTTTAAGACATCAACTATCTATATAAACAGCATCACAAAACTAATTTACAATTGATTACTCCTTCATCTTCTGCAGCCTCCATTACGCTTGCACCTGTCGACTCAACTTCGGTAGTGTGCATACAAATCCACACACACACCCACACATGCCCTGGGGCAAGAGTATCCCCCTCAGTTTCCAGGCGAGCAGCTCTTAAACAAGCCAAGCCTCGTTGAACTGTGACCCCCACACAGAACATACCCTTGGGGTAACTCCACATCCACAGGAAATGTGTCTTTTTGAGTTCAGCAATATGATGGCCGCCTGTGTATGTGTGTGTTTGCGGACTTCTAAATAATTGAAATATGCATATATATACATATATTTCTATCTGAGATTGTTGCTTGTGTACCCTTATTTCATATTCACAGTTAGCAGTTGTGTCATTTTAGTCCGATTAGGTCTTTAATCTTATAGCTGTTTTTTTTTTCTTGTCTGGATGAAACACCCCCAAAAAAACCTTAAACCCACACCCGCATACGCTGCTGTAGTAATGTCTTGTTTATGTTTATGATTGATGATGCATCTTAAGCTGTGTCTGCCCGTCTCTGTCGTCTTATCCCTGCTCCTGTGAGCACTCGGTACGCTTAAACAAATCACTTCATCTAATTCGATCAAATGTTCCGCAGAAGCACTTTTGAATTAAAAAGGTAAGAAATTTCACAAAGCAGGGACATTTGTTTTAGGACAATCAGATAAATGACAGCTTTGGTTGTTTCTTGTGTGACGGGGCCGTTGCTGGCTTGGCGCCGCCATCGCAGCCAATAACAGTCACGTCCTCGCGCTGGTCTGATCTCACGCTGCGTGTGTGAGGGTGTGCGTTATTCAGACTTTTAGGAAAGTTTTAAAGGTCTCTTGGGAATTTTTGACAGATATGCGACATTTCTACGTTCGCTTTATGCGTCATTATAAAAAAAACATTGCCACCGCTTTAGGATGTCTGTGGAAGGGAGTGTGTGCTGCCTCTGATCCTTCACCACCCTCCTGTCGTGTGTGTGTGTGTGTGTGTGTGTGTGTGTGTGTGTGCGTGTGCACACCCTGCATGTGTTTTTAAAGTTATCTGTCCTTTACCTGGTTATTTCCCCTGTGTTTATGTGCATCTGCGTTACTCGTCTTGCCGTGGGTTTGCTCTTTCGGCCTAAGCCGGACCTCGGCTCACATCTCCATCCATCACAGTCTCCAGGCCCACCCTCAGGCCTCCCCGTGTCTCACAGTCCCTCGCCCTACCTGCAGAGGCTCCCCAGCTTCTCCCCGGGCTCCACATCAGGCCCATGGCCAGGGGCACTGAGTAATGGACAGCTCTGTAGGTGGTAGAGGCCGGTAGAGACACACATGCACGCAAACGCACACAAAACCGATACAAAGACACACACACATGCAGAAAGACCAGCAGGGGCTCTCACCCACCAGCTGCAGTGAAAGAGAGGAGGGGGGGAAGAGGAGGGACTCCTAATAGGCATAACTAAAGCACTTCTAATGAAGGGATTCAGTGTGTGTGTGTGTGTGTATGTGTGTGTGTGGGTGTGTGTGTGTTCAACTGGGTTGTGTGACTGTCGTTAGTGTTGATCCTGTTATAAAGTGCCATGGCCCAGAGGGTTGGACTGATATTAAAGCCCTAAATGACGCTATTTATTATGTCCAGTGTATGTGTGTGTGTGTGTTTTGTGGGGTACTTTATTGCTCTCCTCTCTCATGTTTCCGTTGGTCGGGGGGAGTTTGTGTGTTTTGTTGTCAGGATCGATAGCTATGTGAGCAGGTGATAAAATTTAGGGGTTTATCAATAATCATCACAGGGATTATTAGTCTCTGTGGTTGCTGCTACGCGCGCCGGGACAAACCGTCCCCAGCACTCGCCACATCCAGAAACTTCAGACAGGTGCTCCGGTTTGTCTGCGCCCCGTTCTGACCTCCTGCACTCACTGCAGATGTCTGTTCCCTCTCACTATTCACGTCACGAGCATCGCGTTCTGTTTAATTTTTGTTTTGTTTCTGGGTTTTTTTGCTAATAGCTGCTCTTAATTCCGTACCTGTTTTTATCTCTGTGGTATTTTGACCAAAGCCTGCCGTGGACACCATTCCGAGACCCTCACAAATAGTTTTCACTTACAAGTAAGAAGACGTGTGTCCGGCAAATTTCTGCATGGAACAGCTGATATTTTCTTTACTGCCACATGGACAGTGCTGCAACAGGGGCTGATGTAAAAGTGATGCAATCTGAATGAGGGAGTTTGCACGACTGCCTGTTATAAATCTGTCTCAGCTGTCTGAACTGAGAACATCCTGACTGCTGCTTTTTGCTTCAACTGTTTAAAAGTCCTTCACACAAGCCCACTGAGGGCGAACAACATACCTCATTATCTTACAAACTTATTACCAGACGTGGTTAAAAACATGTGACTGACAGGAAAATCTCTTAGAATTAGCATCAATCCGAGCCTTACAACTTGCCCCATTGCACCAGTAAAGATGAGGTGATCTGACAGAGATCAGTGTCAAAGTGCTGCTGGTCACTCAGTTCCAGTGGTGTGTGTGTGTGTGTGTGTGTGTGTGTGTGTGTGTGTGTGTGAGTGCTTTGTGTGGGGAGGAATAAACGGGGAGACGAGGTCCAACTCGGCCAAAGGCTTCAAGGCAGAGCCTGCTGATGTCAGCAGTGAATTGTTGAAGCTTTTTAGTGGAACTCGGGGATCAAAATAGCTTCTGGGTCTAAGGTGGAAGTCCAGCTCATCACAGAGAGCCAGCTAAACACCCCGTCTGACACCACCACCCCAAACCGGCACACTTCAGCCATTCATACCCTGACCCCATTAAACTATTAAATCCTCGGTTTGACCCCCCCTGTTGTGTGGATGGGCAACAACCTGCGGTGTCCCTATCCCCGTATAATAGTCCCCGGGTGTGGGTGTGCGGCGTGGGGGTCAGAGCGTGTGTTATTGGTGTGCTTTGCAGATATGAAACCCCCTGCAGGGGCATTGCGCGCTCTTCCTGCATCTCAGCGAAAAGGCATGGTGACCGTTGAACCCACATGACCTCTCAACCCTAGGCTCGCTCCCACCATCGACGTTTTCCCCCTCCTGCCGAGGACATGTGTGCAAGTCCAGTTTGGGAATAACGGCAGAGGAGACGAAGTTTGGGAAGCGAGTGCATGTTGCCGCTCTTACGCTTTTGTATGTGTGTGTCACCCTCAAACAGGCGCCAACCCCCTGCAGACCAACGGTTTGGGCCACACTGCCCGGGCCTACGCTAAGGAGGGAGAAGTGGGTGCGGCCCTGCTGGAGTGGGAGGGCAAGGTACGACACTCCTCAGTAGTACAGGCAGAAACGGTTGTTACGTTTAAAGAAAAGCTTTTCTAATATCACAAATGTCTGTTTGGCCTGGTCCCACTGACACAGCACTTTCCTCTGAGTGGAACATCTGTTTCAGTCGCCTGCCATCATGCACACAGACTCACCCTCCTCAGGAGGTCTGGGTCTGATTGGCAGGTGCTATTGAGTATTAAAGTTGTGAAAGCTGGTAAACGTTAACTGGGGTTAAACACCACAGGAAAACAGAGCTGGGTTATTGATTAGTGCATAGCGTGAGGGCTCCAGATATTAGGACTTGTGCGTTTTGGTTTTGGGGTTTTTTGTTGTCTCAGCTATTTATTCTAACTCAGTTGGATGACCCTGGGGAAAATTACAGACTGTCAGCTTTCATTGTAAGGCAAGTGAACAAATGGTAATTAATTTCTTTACCCACAAAACTCTTAAGGTGGTTTTTGTCCTGATTTAGGTTACATTAAATCCGTGCCAGAAACTGAGTAGAGTATACCCCCCCCCCTCCAAACACACACACTAAAAACCAGGCCTCCTCTGCCAGCATTTATAATTTTATTGTTTTTTTATTACCCATGAGCAAACTCACCACCAAAGTTTGTGGAATTCAGTTTTAATTATCACCATAATCTTGCAAAGAAACAAATCTCCCCTCACACTGGCCTCTAAGTGACAAGTCACACTTTTAATGAACTTCTAACCTGGTCCGTGATTATAAAGAATACGAATAAAGAAAATAATGAAGAAGTAATCTAACAGAGTCAGAGAAACAGCCTTTAAAACAATGTTCAGTTGCATTTGAGGCATTAGAAAAAGTCTTTTTACATGCTGGTTGAGGCAAAGAGAAAAACAGCTTGGCTTTTCTCAATTTTTATGGATTATGACAGTTTATTTTTAAAGTTCTAGTTGTGGGGGTTTATGCATGTAGCACTTTCTGCACTTTATTGTGATGATTTTTAGAAGAAAAGAAAGAAAAGACATTTTAGCTGCTGATATCTTTCAGGGAATTGAGAGGAACAATACGGGACTGTTCATCTTGACCCTTTGCAGGATAACTGTGTGTTTTTTCCATCTATCAATGACCTCTGCTCTGCAGTAACTGCTCTCTGGAGATTTTGAAAGTGATAGCTGTTATTAGTTTGTGGAGCTTTTTATAAGGCTGCTTTTTTTTTTTCTTCAATTTTTTCCTCTCCCATAGAAACTCTAGCATTGTGACCCCCCCCCCCTTTTCCCCCATTTTGACATGACACAGAAGAAATGCTCAAATGACAAATACAGAGAATATCATTGTTGAGTTTAGTTTCTTTGTTAATATTGAATAAACATGTACCTAATAACAGTTCAGCTCCTGTTGGAGGTGCAGGGGATCTTGAACAGAACGTGGGTGTACCGTCACCCTCCGTGCTCAGCTCTCCGCATTTCAGTGGATGTAGTGTCTGAAGTGGAGTCTGCCTCTTTCCTAAATAAAACTTGAGTTATCCGTAGTCATCTACCAGCTTGACAGCAGGCTGGAACTAACCAAGATGGAGAGAGAGAATAAAGAGCCTGCCTCCACTGCAGGGTGAAAACCTTGAGTCTAAAGAGACAAAGAGAGGAGGATAAATGAGTCAAGTGGTGTCCATGAGAAAGAAAGAGGAGGAGAAACTACAGAGCAAGAGAGTGATGTGGAGAAAAAAGACAGAGACAAAGAAAGACAAGCAGAAGAGACTATGCAGGAGGCAGATGGCTAGAGATCCAAATTAGCAGATAAAGTATCTATTCTGTTCTATCCTATTCTAAATGTGGGGGTTCAGAATTAAAGTTGGGCTCCACATACAGCAAATGTTCTCACCAAAGGTTTTGCTCTTAAAATAAATTATTATTTTTTATGTTCATTATTCGTCCCTTATTTTAGGCATCAGTCATTGTGTGCACATGGCACCAAACTACGTTAATTACTAAGGTTTGGATATGCAAAGTGTTTCCCTCCTCTCCCTGCTGCCTATTGGGATGGATTCTTCTCATAAATGTGTTACTTTAATCTCGGAGCATTTAAGATTTGAGTCTTTTATCATAGCTGTACCACTTTTATTTCAAGGAACAGCTGAATTGTTTCCCCTTTTTAAACATACGATTTCTAGGAACAACTGCTTTTCCCCCGAAAAGCATTCCTCTAATCCGTCTCCATAATTAGTTTTTCATTTGTTTGGCCCTAATTTGCAACCCCAGTGTGAGTGACTGTCCTCCCCCTTTAACAAATTTCTGTTGCAGTCCCCATCTCAGAATCAGACGTTTTCTTGTCACGTCACAGACAGTGCGACGAGTAGAAACCCTATCATGGAACATTCAGATATAAAAATGTGCAGCAAAAAAAAGCTGGGAAAAGTTTTAAATAGATTAGACTGTGATTTCTGAGAGGGTTTTCAGAGTCCGTACAACTATCGCAAAAGGAGGGCGTAATTATCTGTAAACTGTCTGATTTTGGGGTTGTTGGGTAGTGATGTCGACAAATGTATGTTGAATAAAGTCACAGAGCTGCAGAGTATTTAGTGTTTTATCTTAGACTTGGATTGTGGTTTATTCCCCCCTTTTCCTTCCTACCTGCCTCAAATGTCTACCATTTCTCTCAGGTGCACCACCTCTCTTGCTTGCTTCGTAAATGCTCCGTTATTTATTTTCTAAACCTCCCCTTCAGTTCAAGGAGTTGCAGGCCCGGCGGGAGGCAGAGGAAAGGAGGAGGTTCCCCCTGGAGAGGAGGCTGAAGGAGCACATCATCGGACAGGAGGGGGCCATCAATATGGTGGCTTCAGGTACCCAAACACACACACTACACATGCAGATGCACCTCAGCGGACGCACACACAATGACAACACTGCAGACGTCCCAAGTTTGCATAAATCCATGCACCCTGTGCTCTTGCCACATTTTTTCTTTCTTCTCGGGCCGGTTGTGTTTTCCTCCTCTCTGTTCGTCCTCCTGTTCTCCTTCCTTCCCTGCAGCAGTGGGCGGGATCAGACAGACCGGCGGAGGCTGTAATTGGTTAATTGTGATGAATGAGCTGTCTGTCAGGGGTGCACAGGTGCTGTGCGCATGTGTGTGTCTGTGTTTGTGTGTGACAGCTGAAGAGTCCAGGCTTGGAGCCGCCAGTTAACGCAATTACAGCGAGAGGAGACATACTACAGACCCCACACCCCTCCTCCTCTTTTTCTCTCCGTCCTTTTCCGTCTTGCTTACCCCCGTTTCTCCGGGCCACCTTGATGTCCATCTGACCAGTTCTCTTCTCCACCCATCGGTCCTCTCCCACTCGTAGTTCTCGGGCCTTTAGAATTCTTCCCATGGTGGATGTGTGACATGATGTGTGGCAAAGTAGGTGAGGACAGATACGCTTGGAGCCTCCACAAAACGGCAGAAAGAAGCAAAGTGTGTAAAAAGAGGAGAGTGGATGAGTTAGAACACAATAACACAGAAGACAGTAAAGAGCTGATATTACCGCAGACATCCATGGAGGCCATGTGCCGTATTGATCTGCAGATGAGAGAGTGTTGGAGTTCAGAAATGGTTCTTCAGCGAACAGAGAGGCATTGTGTTGTTTTTATGAAGTTGGACATTTTTCTGATGAGATTTGTGAAAACTATTAACATATTCCCTGAACAACTAACTGGTGTGCTAGTGGGTAGCCTCTATTTAAACAATAGGCAGCGATTACATGCATCAGTGGTGGCAGGAAGCTTCAGACGGAGGAGACATGGGACTTGTAGTCTTCGACAAGAGAGAAAAATCACTATTATAATAGCAAATTTTCCTGAGAGCTGCATTTGACCACAGACGCGAACAAAGAGCTTATTGATCTCCGAGATATATTGCAGTAAATATACCGTATTACTCACATTCACATAAGTGGAATGATGGAAGCAGAAGTGGCTTACAGACAGAAAATTAATCTGTAGACAAATTGACAGGAGCACACATTATCTGGTGTTCGTCGAACCCGTGTCAGCTGTTGTTTGTTTTCACTACAGAAATCAGTCAAACTCCGGCAGTCAAAGAGAGGAAGTGGACATCTTGAGATGGGGAGATGGATCAGGAAGGGAGAGGGGGATGTATTCCAGATAAGGACATGACAAATGACTAATAGACTAACAGAGGGAACGCGCTCAAGAGAGCTGCACAATTACGCTTCACAGATACGAAACATTTTCATGTAAATATCAGTCGTTTTGTTATTGATCTGTTAGACAGAGTTTACATCGATGTGTGTCGGCTTTATTGCACTCTGACATTGTGCGTTACCAAAGAGGATTCTTTGCGAGTAGTTTCACTTCAGGCGTTGATTGACGTGGAAAGTTGACAACCATTCTTCTTCACGGTCACCAGCCAATAAAATGACCCGACTGACCTTATGATCACGTCAGTCACGTCAGGCCTGTCCACCAGTGAATGTTGACATAAAGTCCTGTTCTGATCAATAAAAAGATGCTTACAGTTGACAAACTCCAGAATGCTTTCTGTAAAAAAATCCTGACATGTCTTTTCAAAAAGTCTGTATAAGGAACCTTTTGATCAAATACTAACACCGGAGAAAGTTCTCCATGGCGGACCCCACTTAAATTTCCCATCAGTTACATATTCCGTGCTCTGTAGATCCTCAGTGTAGAAAATGGAGGCTGGTACTGGAGGAAATGGGACCGCTAACCACAGGAAATGGTCACCGATAAGGCACGGACTTATCAGACATTTTCTGATAACGAGCAAGAATTCATGGTCATGTTTTTTTCTATATATATTTTCACATTTACTTTAAGATTTTATTCAAAATTAAATGAGAAAAGAAAAAATAATGGCCGCATTAACGTTCCATACTCGATCAATGTTAAACTTCTAAGATAAAGATAAAAGCTGGACACTTTTATGATGGATTTAAAGATCAGGAGTAAGGTTGTGGATAGTTTTCCACCCACAATATCAGGTTATCACTTCATCGTTATGTTTCTGCATCTACAACCACAGTGCATTGAAAAAGGAGTTTGGGAGGTAGTCGGGTTAGCAGACACCGTTAGGAAAACATTTGACCAGAAATTAAAATAATGTTTGCTGTGTTGTCATGTCTTCCAAATGACAGTTTCCACTATAACTCCACATGACAAACAGCTGGCCTGGAGCAAGACGCACACAGTGAAAATGCACAAAATCCACATATGTCCATGCACACACTTACACACACACACAGGAAGGAGGCTAGATTGATCCAGGTTTAGCTCTCAGGGCTAAGAGTTATTGAAGAGAATCATCCCTCTGTAATCATGTTAGAGCCAACCAGACCTGCCCAATACACACTGCCCTGTTTCTGCCTGTGTGTGTGTGTGTGTGTGTGTGTGAGGGGGAGTGAGCTTTCATTTGTTTCCTGTCCCCTTCCTTTCCTTCTGGTTGTCTTGGTCCTCAGAAATGTCAGTGTGTCCTTCTGTCAAAGTCGGTCTCAATCAGCTAAAACACACACCAGCAGGCAGAAGGTTATGCTGTCATTCACGCTGCTATTGATAAAGCGGACGGAGCTCTGGAGCCCCTCTTGTCACTATTCATCTCCTGCTCCATCTCTGACACACTCGTTTGTTTCTCTACCTCATTCTCTGTCTCCTTATCTCCATCACTCCTCTCTTATCTGCCACTGCATCTTTACTCCTCTTTCCTCCCCTTATCTTTGTCCCTTCTTGGGCCTCCCATTTGCTCTTTGATTGATCAGCTATTAGTTGCTAGTTTAGCACTTATGTCATACGTAACAAATCCACCGTGTAGTGATTTGTTATCTCGGTGGAAGATACTAATTGTGGACTACACAATTTGCTTCCTTTTGGCAGCTCGGTGTCCGTGTTCTGCCCCTTATTGTCTTGTACAGGTTGTAAATTTTCACCTCTGATTTTTTTTTATTGGGTTATTGTGTGGCCTGTCGTGTTTAAAAGGGCTGGTTAGAGCCCTATTGTTTGTGGTCAAAAGCTCTTATTGCTTTCTTGATTCAAATAGATGACCCTTTCTAGTTGTGGAAAACCTCTAGCGCACAACTTCAGTCCAGTGGGGATGTTTTAAGTAGGTAAAGATGGAGCAAGTTGTGAGATCCTGGTCTGTTTTATTAAGGTTGGATGGTTAATTTACCAGAATGACACAGTGGAGCCAGAAAGGGCCAGCGTGCCACGTTGCAGCGTTTCAGAGTCTCCGCTTTATCTGACATGTAGGGCTCTGGATGTGGGAACAGATCAGCCCTAACAGGCCAGAGGGTACGAAGCACTGGCTTTCTGCTGAAGGCAGCAGCACTAACCCTAGCCTCAGGTTTCTGTGGCTCTGGTTTCAGCCCAAACTCCCAACAGGTCGGGATGTGGATGGGTTTGTGCTGGTGTCTGCTTCTTTGTCAAGTGTCTGAAGCCGCTGCCTCTCTTTACTCCACATCATCATCTTTTTCTTTGTGTATGCGTGTGAGTGTGGTTGCTGGGGTGATGGCAGGGTAGGGTAGGCACTCCTCTTTAAGCAGGAGTGTGTGTCTGTGTGTGAGGCTGCGATCTATGCTAAACTGATTTCAACATGGCCGCGCCAGAGAGGCTAACGCAATTACTGCTGGCTAATGGCCCCACTGACTGAGGGGGAGGAGAGGCATTGTGGGTAGCTTTCTGGAGGTCTCTCATCTTGCTCTTTTCTCTTTCTCCTCCTTTTTTCCAGCAAATGTTTCTGACCCCTTTCTCATCCCATCCCCATCCCTCTTTTATCATACTTTCCGGGATACCTGCCACCCTCGGGTCGGCTCGGTCCAACTCCGAAAAGATTACAAAACCAGTTGGAAAAACAAGGAAACACAAGTGAACCAAATAATGAGTTTTCTCTCTTCCTCTCCCTTTCTTGGTACTCTCTAGCCATCAGGAGGAAGGAGAATGGTTGGTACGATGAAGAGCATCCTCTCGTATTTCTCTTCCTCGGCTCATCAGGAATCGGTAACTCATTTAACTCTTTCACTGCCCTCGCCTCAACACAGATTTAACCAACAGGTCTGATAAATGTAGTTCTCCAAGGGGTCACTTTGATTTTATATCTATCATTTTTGGGGACTAAATATGGGACTAAACCATTCAAGTGTTATTATTTGGAAAGTTAGAAAGGAGGGTAGCTAATGTTCACTTCAATGTCGGGAAAGTAAAACAAAAACTAAAATTCACATGATTTTCAAGCTCTGCACATCCAGTACACCAGATATTTGTGCTTTTCATATCCCTGTCAACAATCAGCCCTGCTCTGTAGGTTCTCTTCTCTGATGAAACAGCAGAGCTACTAAGGCACCAATGTGTTGTTTATCACATCAGAAAGTTTGTTTGTCCTGTGAGCTTCCCTGGAAATGTTGAGCTGCACATTCTCCTAATCAGAGATCAGAAAAATTCATGGTTCGGTGTGGCTCTATGGCAGCTTAACTCGGTCATCGCAGCTAAATGAATGCTTCTGCAGTTTGCATGGCTGATTACAGGGGTGATGAATTGGAAACAAAGAGATGAAAGATCCCATAGACAGGTAAAAGTCAGTCCAGCTGTGATGATTATGATGATGATGATTGTCCAGATTTTCCAGCCTCACAGCTATTGATTGTCCAAATTTTTTGTCATTGTTATATCTGTGAAAATCATCTTAATAAGTCTCACATACACTTCAGCGCTAATTATTGGAAATAGTTTTGTCATGCTGGTAGGATGACAGAAAAACATTGTCAGCATTTCAGTAGTTTAACTCGTTTTCTTCTGTTTCATTCGCTAGAATTCCTGCAGGTGCTTTGAATGATGTGTTTATGTATAGTTTCACAGTTACACACTTGGCACGGTAAAATCAGAGTTTTGAACAGATAAAAACAGCATTCTTCCCGCTTCTGTTGGAGCGTGTTTTAGTGTTAAAGCAAAAAAAAAAAAAAGGACAAAAATGCTTTTGTGGAAGAAAAAGCAAAGAGAATTAGGAAATGAACACCATGGAGGTTCACGAAAGTGATTTGTATACATCTGTGCTCTAATATTGTGTTTTGAATGGGGAACTGTGAAAATGGGATTACAAAGTTAACTCTCAGCAGATTTTTCGCTGTAAAGCCACAAAACTTGACCCAAGATAGTTTGGGGCAAAGCTTAAATGTCTTGGACCATCAGTGAGATGAGGTAGTGCAAGTGTGGAGGTAGCAGGAGAGGCGAGCGGGATATTAGGGGCCAGATAGATGGCTAAAAAAGACAGAGATGGTGAATTGACAGGGCAAAGAGATAGATGAGGGAGAGGCAGTGTTCATATCCTCTGTTCCCCTCAGCGACAAACAGTGGCCATGAAACATCAATATTAAACACAGCAACAAGACACAGGCGCGCACACAGCCTCTCATGCACAAAATCATCACACCCATATGCATACCAAGCACAAGACATCAATATCATATATGAGCATTTGTATGCTGAATATTTTACCGACAAACATAATGAGTGCTTCTGGAGAGCTGGAGATGATTGAAAGCTCGGTGGAGGCAGGCGCTGGGATTTAGGCCAGCACTTAGCCAAGGAGAGAGATTGTCTTTCTGCCTGAAATGAGGAAGCTCATTTCCCTGAAATCGCTGCGTGCTGATGTGCTCCAAAAAGACTGATATTTCTTATATATTAAAAACAAAGTAATTAAATGGAGAGACGGGGGGGAGTGAATAACTGATGTTTTTGTTTCTGTCTGTGTGGTTTGCTGGCGGCCGTCACAGGAAAGACGGAGCTGGCCAAACAGGTGGCGCGCTACATGCACAAAGACGTTAAAAAGGTGGGTGACGCAGCACGTTACAGACAGGTGAGATGGCTTCTGGCTGCACCCTGCGCGGGTTGACCTGTCGTGTGATTGCAGGGTTTCATCCGGATGGACATGTCCGAGTTCCAGGAAAAGCACGAGGTGAGCTCTTTGGCACTGGATTCCAGTGTAGTACCAGCACTTAGAGTCACAGAGTGTGTGACTGTCGGCGTGGTCATGGCGTGTCTCCCCGTGGGGAAGGTGCTGCTCTACGGAGGCTCGTTCAGGGCAGGCGAGAGCGGCGGGGGCTGCTACTGCTGATGAATGGCGGCGACGCCAAGGATTAATTCCATTTACATACTCATAATCGATGCATAAACCAAAATTAATGTTGTGTTTTCATCCATTTTCTCCCCTTTGCGAAGCGTTTTGTGATGAATACATTTAATGAGGGACTCAGAATTGCACTATGATGCAGCTCTAAAGGAGCATAGCTCCCTGCACATAGTCAGTCAGTTTATCCGGGGGGGGGGGGGGTTCTCGGCAACAAAATACACAGACTAAAGGCCATTTTAAGGTCTCAGATCTAGTGAAACAGGACTGTGCTGTTTGCACTTGTTCTAAAAATGTCCCACTGGATGGCTGAAAAGCTGCCATCATAGAAGGGGAAATTAATTATTTTGAGAGACAGATAAACATGAGTATTTTAAGATCAACTCTTTAGGAACATCTTTTTTTTTTTCTGTTATCAAATAAGAAACTTGAGCTCAACCTTTTTTTAAACTGTTCTCCAATCCTCATCTCTCAGGTGGCAAAGTTTATTGGCTCCCCGCCGGGTTACGTGGGGCACGAGGAGGGAGGTCAGCTGACTAAGCTGTTGAAGGCGTGCCCCAACGCCGTCGTCCTGTTTGATGAAGTGGACAAGGCTCACCCTGATGTGCTGACCATCATGCTGCAGCTGTTCGATGAGGTGCGGGCAAAGACACACTGGCTTCAGTCAACCTGTGCCTCAGTAAGCTCATCTCTTCTTCCTCCACCGCCCTCCTCTCTCAGGGGCGCCTTACCGATGGTAAAGGAAAGACCATTGAATGTAAAGATGCCATCTTCATCATGACCTCGAACGCCGCCAGCGACGAAATCGCCCAGCACGCTCTGCAGCTGCGGCAGGAAGCCGAGGAGGTCAGCCGCAGGAAGCTGGCCGACAAGCTGGGTGAGACAAACGCCCAGGTCCACGAGCAGCCCTACCTGTGGGGGCTCTCGTACTCACCGTCATGTTTGGTTCTCCCTGCAGAGGATGTCCAGAAAAGTGGCGACGTCACGATCTCCCAGCAGTTCAAGGAGTCGGTGATCCGGCCCATTCTGAAGGTACCGCGGCGCTGGCCTCACTTTGGCGTGCTCCGGCCCGTCCTCAGAGGCTGCTCACTCACCTACTGCTCCCCACGTTGTGAATCCACAGGCTCAGTTCCGGAGGGATGAGTTCCTGGGTCGGATCAATGAGATCGTGTACTTCCTGCCGTTCTGTCACTCGGAGCTGCTGCAGCTGGTCAGCAAAGAGCTCAACTTCTGGGCCAAAAAGGTTCGGCGCCACCAGTTTGTAGTCAAAATGCCACCAAGCTCCCGAAATCCTACGTTAAGTCGTTTATGGTTAAAGATGCTCACGTTGGCTCAGACATTTCAGGGGGCTTTTTCCAGTGATGTAGCATTTGGTTTAGCACACTTACAAGCCCCCTCCTCCTGCTGAGACTGGAGACCTGGGCTCACCTGCCGTGTCGGGACGGAGACGCTGACCCGTCTCCGGAGGCCGGCCCTCGCCGCTCCCCTCGGGTGCACAGCACAGATGTCCTCCAGTGAGACCGGACAGCCTCAGCCACTTCATCTCGCAGCTGCCAAGCCGCACAGAAACACACACAGATCAATATTGTGTGCCACTGTTACTCACTGTAATGCGATTACAGTGTTTAACATGTGGAGCCTTCATCAATATTTAATTATTAATATTACCGCTGGTGTCCAGCACGGCCCCTTCAGGCGACCGATGGGGAGCGTTTTCAGCGTGCCGTTTGGCGCTGCTCCTTATCGTTTATTAATTTTTGGAAGTGCGCATGCCTCTTATTAACTTGTCTGTGTCTGCTATCTCATTATCACAGAATCCCCACAAGCCATTTGTTTGTCAATCACTTCAATTAGAAGAATGAAAAGCTTAGAGCCACCGGTGCCTCCAAACTATACATCTGGAGTAAAACTCAGTGTCTTGCTTATTGGATGAAGCATTAACATCTGTGACTAAATGAGCTGCTCTGATCACTACTATCGACTGGTGTTTGATTAAAACGCATTAAGGGCCTGTTGATTAGCGCCAGCAGACATGCTGTTTGACAATATCCCTGCTCTGTCACTGCATTCGTCTGCTCCACTGCACCTCTCTCTTCTTTCTTTTAGTTTTTAACTGATTGTCTTTAAGCTGTGGCTGCTGCAGTCCTGATCCTCCTCACCTCCTCTCTTTCTCTGCATCGTCAGGCTAAGCAGCGCCATGACATCACTCTACAGTGGGATCGCCCGGTCCTGGACCTACTGGCAGGCGGGTATAACTTGCATTATGGAGCGCGTTCCATCAAACATGAGGTATGCTGACACTAACACAGCTAGTGTTTAAGAAGCTTTCATTCAAAGAACAAGACCCTTCTTTTAAATCTTTCAGGTCTGGGGCCACTGTAACTCCAGACCTCGTGTAGAACATATACACATGTATGTTCCTAGATAAAGTGGAGACACGAGGCAGGAGGCATTGTAGACCAATTCTAATGATGTCTTAGATGAGATCAGGGAGGAATCTAAGCAACTTGAATTCAAACTACAGAGAGAACAGTTTCTGGAATAAATGAAAAAGTGGATCATTGTTCAGCTCTGATGCTGATTGGTCAGCTAGCCATCTCATAGAAGACAAAAAAAACTCAGTAATGTTCTTTTGAAAGAATGTTAGTTTTTATACAAGTTCATAGCCTAAACCCTCTGAACTATTTCATGATCTGTGCCTGTAGCTTTCTAACGGGTACTTTAGACATACAGAAATGAGACTCGATCTGAAATTGATGGTTGGTTACAGCTTGAAGACATAGCTGTGCTTTTAAAGACTTTAAAAAATAAAATAAAAAGCCCCTGTGGACTTGAGATACCACCATTTGCAAAAGCAGGACACACTTAAGTGTGGACTGATACATTTCTAAATCTTATCTCCATTTATTCACTAACCATCTCTCCAACGGCTCAGGTTGAGCGGCGGGTGGTCAACCAGCTGGCGGCAGCGTACGAGCAAGAGCTGCTGCCCAAAGGCTGCACCTTACGCCTGACCGTCCAATCAGAGGGCCAGGAGGAGCGGAGCATGCCCAGTCTGCGCCTGCAAGTAGTGGGAGAGGACAGTTCATCAAGAACACTGGACATCCGCCCGCCGCTCAGCCCCGATCACTAATTTATGACACAGTGCAGAAACATCATCATCCAGTGTCAGGAGGATGGATGGTTGTTCCAATAAAATTACCTCCAGAGCAACACATCACCGCCTCTCTGACTCAGTAAACCATGCAGTAACGACACGCCAAAGTCCCCACAACATGCTGTAAAATAACTGCCAGCAGGATGTTGGAAGAGGTCCAGAAAAATAGAAAAGATGCCACTTCAACAACTCTCTGCTCAACTCATCCTGACCATCCAACACGTGACTTCCACTCTTATTCATCACATCTCTGCTCTGTGCTCGTGATCACTGTTACATAGCGATAAGTTAATGTTTACTTTAAAATGTAGAGAAAAAAAAGCCAAATTATTTATTGTAGATACTATAATAAATGGCCATGAAAGGCCTCAGTGAAGGAGAAAATATCATAAAAAATAACATGGAAGTGTCTTATAAAGAATATACACATCCATTCAGAATATTTAAAGAAAAAGATAGTTTGGTGTTTGTTGGTGTGGCAGCACATATCACTAATAAATAGATTGGCACCAGCTGGATTACACTGATTGGTAACACTGCCTGCTTATTTCATTTTGACAAAGGAATGTGCTGGATGCAAAACTCCAAAAGAGGGGAAAACAGCAGTGACTTAGACTCCATACATTTGCCTTGCGAATAGTTTCTGATGATGCCTGTGAATGTAAAGAAGTGTCCTCTGTCCGTCTGTCTGGCTCTGGTGCTGTAACGTGTGTGTCCGCCTCACATCCAACCCTAAAGAAAACGCGACGCGTTGCATCATAAATGTTTGAACAGCATGCTGACGAGGCACCCAGCGTAGTGGGGCGACGCTTCTCATTCTTGTATCCCAACCTCCACCGTGTAAATAAAGCTGTCACCACAAACAGTGAATGCCTGTTTTTTTGTCCTGTCTGTGCTGCACTGACACTCCTGATGGATGGGTGGATGGGTGGATGCTGTGTGTGTGTCTCAGGGAGCAGTTTGTGGGTGGGAATTCTTCAGCAACAATGACGTTTGACCACCTTCTGAAGTGACACGGTCCAGGAATTTTCTCGGAATTCTTCTCCTCGCAGGGGTCCAGCGTGGATGCTGGGAAGGGACTGTAGAGAGCATGTCAAACATACAACACCCTACAGGAATGCGTTTTCCACGGGGAGAAATTAGCGTGGAGGGAAAGGACGCATTCCTTCTTGCTGTGCTTTGCCTGGACCCCCCAACAACACACACATCTACTCTGAGCTGCAGCCTGCTCCATGGAGGAAATTCTGAGACCTAAAAAAAACAGAAAGGTCTTTGAAGGTTTCAGCTGTTTTGATAAACACAAAGATTTTACAACTACATGTCATTTACAATATTTCATTCAGAAGGAGGGGGAAAAGACCGGTTTAGGTTTTTTTAACCTACACAACATTATGCGAAAGTGACAATCAGAAAATATTTCCCGTCCATCTGCAGTCCACTGGAGGCTTTTTGATTTGGAGCAAGCCCCCTAAAGGCCAGGCCCTTTGCAAAGATGAACCCAGTCTTTGTAAACTGTGGGTTTGAGCTGCAAATTAACTGCCAAGTATCTGAAATGCCATCTGCGGGAGGGCGATGTGGGTAAATGCCTTGAGAGAGGAGCAACAGGCCAGCAAACATTTGCAGAAATGCGATTCTTGGAGCAGTTTACATCTGGACGGCGGATCAGGTTCTGCTCTGGCACCTTCAGGCTCTTCCCATCTCTCACAACCCTCAAACACATCTACGCTTTATGGTTTTAGAAAGCCAAAATGGTGCTTGCATATATCCATTTACCCTCCCTGTGGAGGAAGACGGGGAGAAGGAGAGGAGGAGTGAGAGGAGAGGCTCTTAGTCTGTCCGTCAGGCTATTTCTGACTGCTGCCATTTCTCTGATTAGATTAAGGAGAAACAGAAACCTGGCCCGCCATCGTCCTAACCTCCATATCCTTCCATCTCCCTGCGTTTAACTCACCCACTCCTCCCTCTGCCTTCTGCTCCTGTTCTCTGCCCCCAGTCTCTCCTCCTCCTCCTTTCCCCCCAGCACTTCCTTCTACCTCCGCATCCGTCCGTCTGTCCCTCCATCTCTTCCCCACCTGCTCCTGCTGGAGGAGATCTTAACATTCAAGAAGAATGCCAAAGGGGGGGGGGTGAAAGACTGGAGGAGCATAGAACTCAAACATTAAAATAAATGATCACGATAAGCCCTCATACATTCTTTCTGATCAGGAGTTTCACATTCTAGTGGAGTTTGCTTGGTGGTGTGAATGATTTTGGATGTAATTTGGCCTTTTTTCCAACCAGGATCTGGCCCTCTGTTTGGGATAAGGAGAGAGGTGTGTGAGCAGACTGCGGCTGCCAGCAGCAGGGCCTGAGAGGGGTGCAGCAGCCAGGTGGAGGTGGTGAATGATGAACGACTCCCAGCGGCTCTCGCATTATCATATCTGTCCCTGCTCTTAACAGAGGATTTTCATCCATGTCCCTCTGCACTCCTCTCCACTCTCTCTCCCTCTGCTTCTGGCTGTGCTCCCCCAGGAAAGCGATCGATGTCACCTCCATTACCTTAGTCCACTCAGCTCTGTGGAGGGGCCTGCTCCTTATTCATGCGGCTCTGAGGCTGCTCGCTTTATCACAGCCTGAGCAGAGCCTCGGCCCGGCCGCTCCTGTTTGCTCGGATCAGACTCTCCATCCCTCCTGTTAACGCCCGAACCTGCAGCTGCTCCGCTGCGGCTCCAAGTGGGATGTGGGTCGGTACAAGCGGGTGCCACCGTCCGCATACCGTCCAGTTACCTCGCGGCAGTCACGTGACAAACCCCCCTGGGGAGAATTACCATAAAAGACACAAAAAAAGAAAAGGAAAACACACCAAAAAAAAAAAGAAAAGAAAGAAAAAACGCACCAGTCTGTCCTCCTTTCTTTTAAAGAAAGGGAACAAATCCATTCCCCCTAATTCGAACCTTGCACAGGGACAGCTCGCGTGGCAGATTGCAGTCTAATTAGTTTAGAGGGAATTTAATTCAATTAACTTTCCACAGCTCCGCGCGCCCCGCCGCTGGGCTGCTTTCAGAGCGCGGGGCCAGAGCTCCAGATCTAATTAGCGTGTTTGGAGAAGCTCTCCTGCGCGCGGCTATCCCTCTCTGCTCCAGCTGTGGTGCGCCCGAGAACGCGCGCGCGTCTGTGTGTGTGTGTGCGTGTGCGTACTGTGGTCTCCGGGGAGCTGGTTTTTATCCTAAAAAGCTTCTTTTTTAAGTAACATGCCGTCGTCCATTAGGATAATCCAGGTCTGGTGCCGCAGGAGAGATGGACGCAGCATGTGAATAACCGCAGCTGCTCTGCGTCATGCTCCGCCTGATGGATGCATGTTGAATGCAACTTAAAGGGGACTCACATACAGATTGGGGGGGGGGGGGATGTGATGGGTTAAGAATTAATTGACGTATCGGGAGGCAATATTTCCAGCTTCGTCCTGCTGCATCGTCACAGAAGGTTTTGGTCACAGTTCAGATTGTTTTTTTCATTTTATGAGCCAAAGTCGGGATTCAAAATGACTAAAAGTGCTTATCAGTCAGATGTTTCGAGTGATTTCTCATACCATGTATTTTTTCTAAAAGAGTAAATGACAGGCCTGATGGGATATTTGGATTTAATTTGGCGTTCCTGGTGCGCGTGTCACCAGCCACAAACAGATTTTTGTCTTTATACGGAACAATGTTTGCCCATATTATAGCTGTGGCCCACAGAGACACAGAAACGAATTTAGTCAAGGCTTTGAAAAGCGTTTAAGTGGTTTAGTCCAGGTTTCCAGTCTGAACCGGAGCAGAATGCGATCACCTGAGTCAAGTGCTGAGAGCAGCCTCACTTCGCCTCTCGTGGGCCATGTGGTCTCCAGCCGGAGCGTCATCCTACATTCTGGTAATTAGGGGACTGATATGTGGGGACGTGCAGGCAGCACCGGGACCCCCGCACCCATCACCCCCCCCTTCCCCCGTATCTCATCCATCACCGGGAAAATCAAATGCGCCAGGCTGCTACTGCTGGAAACGCGCAGGCCCGACGTTAACGGCGGGACCTGGGAGCTCTGAATTTATTTTCATGCGCAATCAAATCGAGCTCCCGGGGAACAGGATCTTCAGAGGGGCGTTGACACGACGCATTTTAGTGATGCTGCAGGCCCGGCGAGTCAGCAGCGTTGCTCCAGCGCAGACATGCAGGATGGAGCTCAAACACACGGAAGCAACTCCCTCTGAATACTTTAGGAACGCAAACCAGCAGCAGAACGCGGGGTATATGCATGACTATAATATGGGGCCGTTGTGCACTTATAAAGAAACATTTTTTTGTGATCACACTCGGTATCACTTGTATGTTTCTTGGTTTGGTGTTTCTTTGCAGGCCTCTGTTCGTTCATCCATTAATTTATTCATTAATGAGGACTATATGTGCAGAAATATGGTTTTACTTGCGTTCGAGTAAAAATGAACACACTAAAATGATGTTTTACTTAACATTTTTTTTCATTAAAGGCTAAGTGAAATGTCCCTCTGTTTTGTTTAGTCTCTTTCCGGACATTTTGTTCCTTTGGGTACAGTTTAATGGGCCTGACTTTGCCTGCTAACCAGACTTGGAATGATTCTTTGGAATCTGAGGTGTGATGTCCCTTTTTTCTTTGTGCTTTTATCTGCTGCTTTTACAAAGCCCCACAAAGAGGAGGTTAATATCCAGACCTGAGAATCAATAGCTGCCCGAGTCTGCGGCAGGGAAGCGGCTGTGGGGCGCACGGGACGTGTTCTGCTGTGAGCTGCTGTGATGGATGGAGCTGGAAGTGTCCTTCTCTAACTGACAGCCTCGCTCGGATGTCAGACCACCGCGTGGCACGCGGACAGAACCCGGACTGGGCCTCCCGCGTGGCCTTGTCTCATCCTTCACTTAGCTTTTTTTTATCCCGGTGTTGCTATCCCTACACCTTTCCCTGTCTACATCAGCAGCATTCAGACACCCATCCATCACCGGTGTGTGTGTGTGTGTGAGGGGGGGGACTTCTCCTGTTGCTTCCGTCAGTCTGGGCAGCGGTTACAGCCCAAGCAAGGACCAAACGACGGGAGTTTTGTCTATGGAACACGAGCCTTTGTCGTTTTAAATATTGTGAGAGGGAAAGAAAACGAAATGGGCTATCAATTTAGAAATACAGCAGTTTGATCTCTCTGCAATAAATAAAACTATCGAAAAACTGATTTTAAAAATACAATAAAAAATTTAAAAAAAATCACAGGGCCACAAATTATTGGTTTCACCTTTTAAAAATATTAGAGAACGTGTTACTTATCCGGAGTTATTGATATTTGGAATTACTTTCAAAAACTGATGCTGAACGTTCGCAGTCGTCTAATTTCAACATGACGGTCGTCTTAATCGCTCAATTAGGCTCAGCTCCAGTGTTCTCTCCTTTTTTTCTCTCCTTCCAACAAAAACCAGACGCTTTAATTCGGGGTAATGCTTCTATTGCTTGTAAATGACAAACTCATCTTTGAGAGGCTGAATTGGTCCCTTCACTTAATCACGCCTCCGATTAGAAACGGACAGCACGTTACGGCCGTCCAGAAGGTTTCAACCAGCAGGCCCATAATCCCCACAGTCAGGGCTGCTCTCTCAGGGTCCCTCAGGAGTCTTTAGGGGACCATTGTATCCCCCTTCTGTTGATTTAGTCGCCATGAATGCCAAAGCTCCCTGTTACTGTTTCCGTCGAATCGCCCCCATGAATGTAAAAGTCCAAAGTTAAAGCCTCCGCGGAGGAGAGGCTCCCCCTGCGCCGCATGGAGCACTGGGGGCGGATTAGTGGCCTGGAAGAGACCGGTTCCTACTTCTTTGAAGGGATTAGGCTCTAAATGCCTGAAAGCGGGAGAGCTAGAGTCGCTCTAGGTTGCTCTTTTTTTGGGAGGTGGGGGCTTAGACGGGCTGGAAAGTTTAACTTTAAAACTGTTTAAGTTTCTCTGCAAACTCACCTCTGAACCGAGCAGACGGAGACGCACAAAAGGCTGGACGGGCTGAGAGTTGACGCGGTTGAAAAGGAAATAAAAAGCCAATTTGGTTTATAAAATAGACGTATTTATTTCGGGGGGCTTTTATGAAATCACTCCGTGGTTACGGGAATGCTTGATGTGCCATTCAACACAAAAGACTGAAGCCAAATACGAAATGACTCAATGGAAGGGAATGTGGTGCCCTTGTAAAATAGCGTGAGCTGAGCCCAAATGACACCATATAGAATAAAACCCCACTAAATGTGTGTGTGTATATATATATATATATATATATATATATATATATATATATATATATAGCCTATATATAGATATATCCTATAGTGAGAGGGACACATTTGATAAAGAACCCCTCAAAGGTCCACGCTGCGTAATAACTTGTGCTATGAGTGGGCGAAAAACGGTGGTTTGAAACAGTTGAAAAAGTAGGATTTCATATTATTCGGATTATAAAAAAAGGGGAGGTACAAATACAAAATTATCTATTGACCAAGAAAAGCACGAGCAGGAGCCTCGGGCCCGCATCAGCTGATGGAGACAAGCACCCGGACTCATCCATCCAGCACCTCTCACCGACCACACAACAGCCGCTGTAAACAAATCTTATTATTACTTAAGTGAACACGGAGCAGCAAACGCACGCATGCGCGCGCGCCCGTTGTAGGTTAATGTCATTAAAGGAGCATCATCATGCAGCCGCTGGTCCAGCAGAGATAAGAACGCGCACTCTGGGCCTTATTATGCCATTTTATGAGCGGGCACACGCGGGGCCAAACCTGATTAATTTCCTCGCGTGCACGCACAACGTAATTTTGGTTTGCGGATTATATTATTTGGAGAAATTTAACCACTGATAAAAAGCCTGTTAATTTCATGAACAGCGTACCGGATTTCTCTCTCTCTCTCTCTCTCCCCCTGTCAAAAAACAGCTCCAGATTTGGAAGCCGCCTCGCGCGTGCTCCTATGTGTGTGTGATGGGGCCGTGTGGGATATGACTTATCACATTGTATGACACCGAACAATAAACTTAAACCAATTTTTGAAGCGTCAATGCGTTTATGGTTAGCCTGTCGTGCTGCTCAGTTGCCTCTCTGCAGCCCCATACATCAAAGTGACGCTCACTCTGGTGACATCTCCGGAAAAGTGATCGGAATCAAATCAAAGCTTTTAATCTCAGCAATCACCGTCACATCTGGACGTTTTCCCTCACATAAAGACTTGTGTGGCAGAGTCGCGGCTGGTTGCTGCGCGCCGTTTGAGGGGCGAGGAGGCAGCCCTGACCGGCCGCGGAGCCTCACGTAATGCGACTCAGGTCCTGGTTTAGAAATAACATCTGTTTTAATTGTGTAGCTCTAGGGGATGAATATGTAATAAACTTTTTATTTTAATGACTAAATAAGCTTCCAAAAGGTTAGCAAAGAATATTTGCATCCTAATTAGTTGAATACCAAAACAAAATGTTACCTGTAAAAATTGTTCCAATATTCCCTTTGGGGGGAAAAATACATACTTTTCGAAGTAACTGCGACATTTCACGGAATGCTCCGTTCACATTTCAACATCTTAATGGGATTTACAGGCCTACAGATTTGTTCTGGCTAATTGGATGATTAAATTGGGAAATTACAGATTATTATATGCTTAAAGGAATCTTTCCTCATTTAAAAACTGCTTTTACTATTATCCTGAGAAGTGTGTGAGCTCTATTGACGCAGATTACAGCTGCAAAAGCAAAAATGGTGCTTTTAACGTTGCTGGATCTCATAACGTTTGGGCTGAGAGGGGAACGAAAAACGGACCCGAATCAAGAGATGTCCGTTGAAGGGAGCTTGCGAATTTATAACGCATCTAAACTAAAGAAGGTCTTTCTTTTTTCTTTCCTTTAAAGACTGCTTTAACTCCGCTGACACCTGCCAGCTCGCGATGCTGTGGACCGCGTGGGCGGTGCACCGAGCCGTGGGTGGGAGGGGGGGGTGGGCGTCCGTTTCCACGCTCACTCACTGGTGGCATTGTCATGGAAACTAGACCACCGCCTCGCTATTGTCTCGAGCCCTGCCAAGTTTATTATAAACAGCGCGCGAGCCGCAGCGCGCTGTCAAACGGAGCGCAGAGCGCAGAGCGGAGCGCAGCACAGGGAAGGGGCCAGGCCGAAGACACCACGTCACATCACACTACCAACTCAAGGAGGAGGAGAGTGGGAGCAAGGAGAACACATCTGGATTACTTTCCAAGAGAAACTCGCGCGTGACAGTGTGATATAAACCGCGAAACCGACGAGAGGTTTGGGCACCAGCTCCGTAGATTGTGGAGAGAGAAAGAAAGCGAGAGAAAAGACCACCTTCGGGGTTTGATACCTGAAGCCTCGTCTAACCGCGTTTTGCAGACCGGTGCTCCCACCGGCTGAGCTCCATGTATAAGATGGATTACTCCTACCTGAACTCCTATGACTCCTGCATGGCGGCCATGGAAGCGTCGGCCTACGCGGACTTCAGCTCCTGCAGCCAGGCCAGCTCCTTCCAGTACAACCCCATCCGGAGCGGGCCGTTCTCCAACCCGGGCTGCACCCCCCTCAGCACGGCCAGCTGCACCCTGGGGGCCCTGCGGGAGCACCAGCCGACGCCTTACTCCTCAGGTAAGGAAGGGAGAGCCTCCTCTTTTTCCTTCTGGAAGTCTCCTCGGCCAGCTGAGGGGGCTCGGGTTAATGAGGGTGATTAGGGGAAATTTGAAACAGCTGCGCGTCGCTCCGGAATTAAAAGCGAGTGTGAAGGTAAATACGGGGCACAAGAAGTAAAAGTTACAATGTCATTCGTTCACGAGGAAATTCCTAATAGCTTAAATTAAGGCCTAGGTCATTGCAATTACGAATTTGCAGATGGAGACAACCGAAATGACAACCGAAAATAATAAAGTGGTATTTTCAGGATCTGTCACTTTAAGATTCAATGGATGAAATTCAATGAAAATCTACAAAAAATCATGATGTAAATTAACTCTTTCCCTCATCCTTTTCTTATAAATTTTACCTGTCTGTCAATTTTAAGCTTTAATAAGGACAATATGCATCCATTCATATTTAGAGTAATTAAAAAAAACTGGCTGATTTTTTATTTATTGTATAAATCGAAACAATCCATTTTTCCGAAGGGATCATCTGTAATTTATTTACGTGGACGAATAGCTAATCAGTCACTGCAATTGTTTTTTTGTTTTTTTTAGATATGTAGTTTTAATCATGAACTAAGTGAAAATCTAATTTCCAAATCATATTAATAACTTAATAAATCAATCAGTCCATCGCCAAAAACAAACAAACAAAAAACTAAGGCCAAAACAACAGTTTTTTTTTTATGTAAACCAATATGACGATAAAAGCTTTCGTGGAAATCCTAATTTTCACTGTTATTGTTGTTTAAAAGGTGAGTGTAAACCGCAGCCTGGCTCATTTACGCACGGCCCCCACATGTTCTCCCACCGGCCTCGCCCTTTACAGACCAAACGCGTGTTTAAATGTACGTTTTTCTGACGCTAAAAGGGACCCTTTGATTTCCTTTTCAGTCCCGTACAAGTTTTTCTCGGACCCTTCCGGCCTGAACGAGAAGCGGAAGCAGCGGCGCATCCGGACCACCTTCACCAGCTCCCAGCTGAAGGAGCTGGAGCGGGTCTTCGCGGAGACGCACTACCCGGACATCTACACCCGGGAGGAGCTGGCGCTCAAGATAGACCTGACCGAGGCTCGGGTGCAGGTGCGTGGAGCAAACCGCTCATTCTCTGTCATGTGAAAAGCCCGCGGGGGTCGGACGGGATAAGCGTTACCTCTGTCTGTGCTCGACAGGTGTGGTTTCAGAACCGGCGCGCCAAATTTCGGAAGCAGGAGCGCGCAGCCAACGCCAAAGCCAGCAGCGCCGCCGGAACCACGGGCAGCAACGCCAGCAACAGCTCCGGAGGGAAAAAGGGTGGGGAGAACCGATCCTCGTCTGATGACGACGAGTCCAAGGAGTCCACCTGCAGCCCCACGCCGGACAGCACGGCCTCGCTGCCCGGCTCGGCCAACGGGAACCTGGGGAGCCCGGCCAGCCTGAGCCCCAGCCCGGCGCCGGCCAACAGTGGCTACACCAACGCCTCCAGCTCTCCAGTTCTCCAGGGGCTGAAACCCCCCAGCTGGTCCAGCCTGGGCCCGTCCAACCCAGCGGTGGCCCAGCCTGCTGCCCAGACTCAGGAGATCCTGAAGGCCTGGCAGCCAGCGGACAGTATGACCGGGCCCTTTGCCGGAGTCCTGTCCTCCTTCCACAGAAAACCCAATCCCGCTATCAAGACAAATTTGTTCTGAAGCACAGAGGGAGAAAACAACAGACCGGGGAGTGTTAGCTTTTGGGGAAAGAATCAAGACTCACCCTTTATCAGGCTGACTTCAACCAGGGAGTCAGCTGTGTAGCAAGGCTCCCCTAGATCCTGTTTAAGGCTCAGATGATGAAAGAAAAAAGAAAAATCACTGGTCTAGTAGCTCTCAATCAACCCTAAAATGTTATGCAACTGTGCATATTGTATCAACCGAGCCCTGCAGAGGACAGGGGCCGTTTCCTCCCTGCTCTGACTTTATCCTCAGCCTGCTTTATTCACACAGTTTGATTAGAATTCTCAGACAAAACTTGAAGACTTTCTCTATTCGGTTTGTTACAGGCCCTCAAACTGTTGACTGAACAGAAGTGA